TGAAAAGTGGGCAGGCCAGCCCAGTCCACTATCAAAAGTGGAAGGGCCATGAGTTCTTAGCGCCCCCCTTCCCAGTTCTGCCACCCTGTGCGTAAGTAAAGACTAAGAGGATATTTACAGAGCATGAGGTAGCGATAATGAAGGCAAGCAATAAAAAGGGCCAGGACAAGGGGTTGGATAGCTAAACAGGTCAGAACACTCTGATTTCTGGCGATACGTGGAGGACGATACAGCAAGAAGGTAATAAACATCCAAAGGTAGTAGAAACCTACGGCTTTTGTGCTCTGAGCACATTTAACTTCCTGGTGTCTAGTCTTTGTGGTGCCTGCTCTGAGAATCTGTTTTCAGGGGAGTAATGTGATGATATATGCCACTTACACTCCAGACACAGAGGCAAATGCAACTAAGTGGTCCTGGTGCGCCATCTAGTGAAAATAAGCATTTTATCTTGTTTTACGGTGGACTCATAGGTTTACTTGATTCTGCGTCCCTCTTGTCCTCAGCCTAAGCAGAAAGACAAAGAGCAATTTTTCTGAACATTCTTGGGTCACATCAAGCCATGGATTTTTAAGCAGATGAGTTCTGCTTAAGAACTGACAGCACAACATGCACCCTTGCATCTGTGGATTCATACAGCATTAGCATCACTTCATTTTCATAATATAGCCTAATGTTTAGGACAGAAGAGGTGAGATTCTATTTGTCTCTACTCTGACTTAAGGTTTGTCTACACTCCCAGTATACTGCACAATAACCTTCTTCTGCAGGGATGTGAAAACACACACAGACACACACACACAGTTACAGTGCTGTAAACAAGCTCACCACTGTAAACAAGCTCCCAGCACTGGGAACCACACTCCCAGAACTGTTAGCTACTCCCCTCATGGAGATGTTTTATCTACAGCCCTTGGAGAGCTCTCCCCCAACACTGGTGCCATGACCACACTGCCGCATTAAAGCGCTGCCATGGCAGTGCTGCTGCACTTTAAACTTAAGTGTAGACAAAGCCTTATTCTTTTGCAAAATGTGGGTAATGACTTACACCTGCAGGCAGGGGAAGCTGTGTTAATTAATGGCTTTAAAAAACCTCTGAAGGCTTGCTCCTAGTCCACTGAAGTCAAAGGGACTTCACTATTGACTGCAATGGGAACAGGCTCAAGTGTCTGATAAAATGTGCTACATTGTTTACCTTCCTCAATATAGTTCTCTATGTGTACAAAACAAGACTATGCAATATGAAATTAAATTAAATTAGGGAAGGAAAGATGATCAGTGCTAGACACTGATCTGGGTGAGTCTCAAGAACAAAATTCAGCTCTCCCGGTCTCTGACATGGTCAGATTCCCTCTGACCATGGACCAATCACCCTGTGCCTCCATTCCCTATCTATACAATGGGGACTACACTAGCCTACCCCACAGCGGGTATGTGAGGATTAAGGTAGATGTGCTCAGATAATGTATTTAATGCTAAGATAAAAACTTCCCACTGAAGAGTATGAAGCCAAAGCACTAGTCCCCCTTGACAGATTTTGGTCATGACTTTTTAAAACTGGTAAGTGTGCTCTGGTGCCTCCATTTTTGGATACCTAATTTGAGACATTTTAAAGGGGTCTGATTTTCAGAATGGGTCCTCTGCATATGCTGGGGGGAGGGGAAGGGGAACAAACAGTCTCTTTGAAAGTGTCTTAAGTTAAGCACCCAAAATTAAGCAAGTAACTATAGACTTTTTAGAATCCTGGCTTTAAAAACTTTCCTATTGGAATTACAAAATTTGGGGTAACATTTTCAAAGGCATGTTTGAACGTCTGATTGAGAGTCAATGGGATTTAGTATGTGGGGAGCTATGAGATTTAGACTCTTCGGAGACAGAAGCCTAAGTCATTTAGCACTTGTGAAAGTTTTACTCAAAAATAATTAAAATACCTTTCAAATGTCACTAGTTTGTCCAGTGGGAGACAGTGACCTTTGATATGCGACCTTGCCACTTGCATCAGTTATAACACAGAACCCACTCCTTTTTTCCTTACATAAAAAATGAGCAGCTTTCTGATTTCTTCAAACTTCTGCAGCATGTGTCCAACAGCTGCTGTGCCCAGCCATCTTTAAACAAAATTACTGAACACATTTTGTTTCAATCTGCTAGAGCCAGAGTTTAGGTTGCCAGGCTGGAATCTGACTTCAGTAGAGCTGTGTACCTTACAACTTAACAGAGTTGGCCTTGAGAGCACTGTGAAGTCAGCAGGCTGCGTTCCTGGCTTGAGATAGAAAATTGTTTTGATGGGGTTCTGAGGAAATCACTCATAAGGCATTTACTGCAACACAGTATTAGATGGTGGGATTGGAGCTAGTAACTAAGTTAAGGGCAAAAAAAGCAGGCAGCACGGTCTCACTACCAAAAAATCCTGATCAGTAAGAAAATGAAGAGAATTATCTTGGCAATTTACTGACAATACAAGCCTAACCAAGCAAAGATCCTGAATTTCAGGCCCCATGGCCCGTATAGGCCCCTGAAATACATAGCAAAGCCAACGTAAGCCCCAATGTAGGCAGCACTAGGCCAACAAAAAAGTTCTATCACGTCTCAGAGAGGTGGAGTCCAATGGCATACCTGACCCACTGTGGATGAGCCACTGTAATGTTTCGAGTGAAGACATACCCAAAGAGTTTGGGCCTAGTGGCTGAAACCAGTTACAAAGCAACAGCATACCTCTTCCCCTTTGGCTAATGCACAGGGAAGCCTTGAAACATATTTCACAGGTTAGAGCACCTAGCCCCACTCAGCCTTTGAGGACAGTGGGAAGAAGTATCAAAAGGTGAGCAAAAAACCCAACACAAATAAACTAGGGATCTTAGAAGAATCCTCCCTTCTTCTGAAAAGAGGAAGTCTATTTACTGTCGAGGAGGACATCAACAGATTCCCTCTGAATATTCCATTGTGCCTTACCTTAGTTTTAGGTGTAGTGCAATGATCTAAGCATACAACTGGAAACCAGCAGCTCCTCAGTTCTAGTATAAGCTACGAATGCTGACTCCCTTCCATAACTTTAGACAGACAGAATCACATCAATTGGAGCAAGGTGAGGAATGACATATTTCAGGCACCAACCTGCACCATTCCTCACAGGTACAGTGACGTACAGAAGCATTTTACAGCTGAACACAGTTCTTTTCTGGGATATCTTCATCACTATTTTCAAAAGTCATGGAGGGGTACAAAAGTGGAATGTACGGTTATTCGTTTCAATAGCAAGTGAAAACCTACCCCTCCATGCTGTGCTGCTATCCAGTTAATTAGCTTTCTATACCTATGTAGGCAGCTAATATAATTTAATCAGATGAAATATTCTAGAGGTAAGAAAACCACCACCACCTTTTCAATTACCTCCTCCAAATATATTTGACTAAGTAATAAGAGATGTAAAAGGTCATTGTTTCTCAGTATCATGCCATGCCCAGAAGGATTAGACTTGAGACATCATCTGAGATCGTTTAGGGACCATTAAATCCTTTCCAGTCAATGCCTTCTGGCTCCTTGAGGGTTTTCAGCACTTGGGTCTAGGTGAACTCCATAATCATTAGTCAAGGTTCTTTATACATCCCTTTATGGGTTTTCCCTAGTCTCACTGTGACTATATGAAAGAAGGAAGGAACTTATTTCCTGAAGTAAAACTGCAGGTGGAATCTCTCCAGTTACTTTTGACTAGTAGAGTCAATTTGTTTCACTACTGTATACTAACACACCAAATACAAAATCCCTTGCAATAAAAAACAAAAAGGAGATTTCAGAACCACCATTACCTTCAAATTATATACACAAGAAATCTCACAGTGCACATACACAATTAGGCCAATTACATTCTTGTGTTTTTCCTTACATCAAAGAATGTCCAGAAAACATTTTACATTCTCTTATATCTATAAACTAGACTTGTTTTAAATACAAAGTACTATCTTATTTAAGCTGTATTTTCTACAGATGAGTACATAGCTATAAGTAAAGACAAAGATGGCTCCAGAGTTCAATATATTTTGGGGGTACTAAAAACACCTACCATTGTTATAATTAAAGCTTGCTTCTGAACAAATTAATGTTTTTTTCTGCAAATCTTATACAACAACTCTGCCACCAATGTTCCCTCTAATTGTTTCCATATATGTGTGGAATAAATGTTATGTGCACCAAAGCATGTGAAGATGGGCACAAGCGGTAGAAACAGATGGTGCTGGCTGTGGTTGTTCTAATCAGCGGGGTGGCATTTGATTCTCTTAAGGGTGGCCACCCAAGCACTCAACTTACAGGGAACATTGCTCTCCACAAACAAAACTAAAATTAAATGAAATGTTAATGACAAACACCAAAGCTGTAACTGAGAATTTGATTGAAGAACTATGTCAGGAAATGTAAAAGTCAATCCTTAACCCGCCCCATTCTTTAAGTACCTCCTAGGGTTTAGGCACCACCTTGGCAAGAGCCCCAGACTCCAGAACATCAAAAATTGGGTCTGTAGTCTTGGAATTCCTGGTGGGCTCAAAGGTTGTTGAGAGAGATGAACAATGGGAACAACGTCTCTTAATGGGACTGACTATAGGTATTTACAACAATACAATACAAAAACTGGTAACGGTCTTGTTGAAAAAAATCTTCTCTCTCACTTCAGCAATGATCATAGGATGCAAGAGGGAACTGGAGAGGTGCCAGAATCAGCCCCTTAAACTAGTACAGAAGCGTGGGTTTTCAGGGGGTGATACAGTCAGCCTTATGGATACCACTTGGGGAAAAATCTTTGGCAAAGGCACACGAGATACGTATATACCGAATATGTAATGGCGTAAGCAAGTGCTAGGAGAACCAATATTTTAAATTTACACCTTAGTACTTTTATCTGCCTGCTTTCATCCTATAGTTGTAATCAGGGATCTTCCATCTATAGGCCTGTGCGTGATAACTATTGGTGTTTAGATGAGTTAAGGAATATAATAAAAAGAAGCAACATCTCTGGTGTAAAAATATTATAAGTTTATTAAAACTGAAGACATTACACACATTTTAATAAACTTCCCCCAAAAAATCTTTATATTGTATTGTGGCAAATTTAGGACCAGCATGCTCAGAGCAAAGATAGCAAGTGACTTTTTGTATAGTGTTATAACATGGACTGAACTCCTTAAACAGCAGCAACAAATCTCAAAAAGTAGAATATGGAATTTCTTTCAAATATACCAAATAATTTGAAGTAAATCTCAAGTTCAAAATAAACAAATGTTTTTAAAATACATACTAAAGTATCTAAAAGCTTAAGTCACTACCAGCACATGTTTATATTTAAATTACATGAAGTATTCTAACTGCACAAATCAGAAGAGCCAGTCCCTTCTACACAGTCTACCATTTAAGGCAAAGAGATCCATGCCTGCATGCAGCCCAAGTAAAATCACTGAAGATCTGTACAGAGGCATAGGTCTGTCCACACATTTCTCTTTGCAGGATCAGAGGCCCCAGCAAAGATATTTGAAAAGCATTTTTATTTCAAGACCCAAGTTTAGGTTTCTGTGTTTCTCCTACATGAATGCAGCTCCCTGCACACTTTTGGCATTAGCGAGGTCATCTGTTGTGACAAGAAAAACAATGAATACCCAACACTCAGGCCTTGAGAAACAAAAAGCCTTCTGATTACTGCTGTTATTGAAGGTTATTCATGTATCCTGTTAGCAATTTAAGATCTTGCTTCAAATGCTCTTTTAGGATATTAGTTCTAGTTTATGGAGCTTCACAAATTTCTTTAATGATTTTTGGTAGCGTGTAATGTACACATCAAAAACAAATGAGTTAAAAAAATCCCTGCCTTTTCCAGGCCTGATCCAACTCTTAACTCTTACTGAACTCATTGGAAAACCTCTCTAAAATTTACCTTCACTAAAAATTGGATGTGGCACTCAAAACAGATAAACAGTTAATGTCAGTATCTTTTAAAGATATTTATAATGCTCTATAAAATTAACTTTCTGGCTATCACACAGATTTACTTACATAGACAGCCATCACACAGATTTATTTACATAGCACAACAGCATGTGATTAATGATGAACAACTGAGTGAAAGTGGGCATTTGAAAAAAAATAGAAAAGAACTGTTTACTTAATGAAATATGATTAAGTTACACATGTATCTAATTTTACGTCATAGGCAAAAGGTAAAGGCCTCTATGTGCTCTATTTCAGTAACTCTGTTATCCAACTGGATTTTTTGGATACGTCATAAGTAATAATGATTCATATGTAATTTTTTTTCCTGAATTGTTTATCAATTCAGATCTTTAACCAAACTTGAAACAGTGACAACAATGATCTTACTGCTCACCCACTTGTGAGTGAACGCTCCGCTTGTGAAACTCATAAGATCATTCAAATATCATACAACTTTCCAATAAATTTAAACAATATATTAGACCTGCTTATTCTTTTGGCCTAGATAAAAGTCAGTAAAACTCTTGATTTGAAGCCAAATCCTGCCAAATCCTCATCCCATTCACCTGTGTAATCTTAAAGACGTCCATAAAATAACTCAAGGAAGGTTTCTGGATTTGGGATCCTTGGTGATTCACTAAAGCCTGCCAAATATTTTTGAGACCTGGAGAACATGCAATAAGCCCAGCTCATCATGGGTTTGCCCACTCTCTATGTAAAATGACAGATAACGCCTACCATAAAGAATTCTAGTCCACATAGTTTGGATTTGCAATATTTTTCAAAATAAGTTAATGCATTTTGCTATTGCTGATGTATACATGATGTATTTAAAACTTTTTAGACAACAGGGGAAACTGACACTGGTTATTGAAAGCAGTGCTTTAAATTAACTGATTCGAGGATCTCAATATATCGTTTTTCAGGTGAGTCCAAGGGCAAACATTTTTCGCCATAAATTTATCAGAATGAATTTAATAAGGATGTTTATAAATATTTCATTATATACTTCAGTTCTCTTCTCTCATTCACTTCACCTAATACTTCATATAAGTAAAGGCAAAACCAAACTTACCAGAGACAAAGTGTCTCAATGCCTTGATAAGTGCAACCCACAGTATGGAATACTGGACAGGTTTTAGCCTTAATCATCATAGTCAAGTTATAAACACATACACCTTGAAATAGACTTCATGCCAGAATCTATACCTTACAAGAAAGCAGATATGCCTATCCACTTAAAAATACAGTAAAAGAATAGCAAAGATCATATTACTTTGTAATTTCAAAATGTCTGGCTTACTCAGTAGGAAGCAATTATAGTACTTCTCAGGAGGATTAGTTACATTACCCATGGTAAGCAGCTTTCTTTACAAACTGTATAGTTTATAAACTGAATAATGTTCTGCAGCTGTGAAATACATTTGTAACTTGCTTCTAAAATTAAACTGTACATCGACATAGCAAATTGTGCAAGAAGCAATTTATTAAATACACTGGTCCACCATGCAAGCCATAAAAATGCCCAAATTATATTTTGTTCCACTAACTTGAAGGCGTTTCTATATAAACATTTTAGTTTGCAATGTAGCTGTAGCCATATAGGTCCCAGGTGTCTATAAACATTTTAGTCGTTTTAATTCAGATTTAACACATAAAACAAACAATTACACTGAAATGTATTTGGGAGTCAAAACTTGTGAGACCGTATGGAATTTTTACTATAGCAAAGACATATAGACTTTCTTCTCCCTGTACAGCATTCTACAGCAGCAGGTTTAACATCCAATTAATCTGATAATTATACAAATTTGGGACTATAAACCACTGGATACAAAATGAAAAGAACTTGGGTGAAAGTCATAATATTAATATTCCTTGGCAAATTAAATCTGAAATTTAAGAAGGGGAAATTCAGACTGCTCAGAAAATAAGTTAATATACTAAATTCTTCAATATTTGAGCTTTACATTTTCATTAAAAAAGACATGGCATAATAAATCTAGATACATTATTTGCTAATATTTAATTTACTATGTAATTAGAGAAGAAACTGAATAAAAGAACCAATTAACCAGAAAGCCAATCATGTACTCAAAACACTGTTTATACCACATTTGGTAACACTGCCGTTAGCAAGGCCATGAGATGAACGTATTTACATGTTGTTTCCTGACTATCAAGTGGTTAATGATTTCATACCTGAGATGAAAAATCAAAAGGTAAAACACCTGATATTTTGTATACAGGTTCAGATAGATAAGAACCACCAATTTTTCTTAAATGCAATTTAAAAAAAAATGTAAAATAGCATCATTGGTGTTTTCCCTTCTAATTACTTTAACAATTTAAATATGCATACTCATTTATATGTGTCAGAACATATTTTGAAAGTATGTTAAAGGTTCCTGTTTCCCCTATGCTTTGATAATTCATATGGAATTATGAGAACTGCCTTAAAAGTAATCACCCACACTTTAGTCATAATAATGCACCCATAAAAAAAAAAAAAAAAAAAAAAAAAAATCAGTCTTTGTGGAAGGTTCCAGTTCTACTGAATTTCCCCTTCCCTAAAATGACATAAAAATGTTGATTTCATAGAAGAAATCAGAGTTTCGCTAATGCAGAATCTGGCATACAATAATTTAGCATATATGAAATTTAAGAAAATTCATAATCTAATCTAATTGATGCCACAGCCCCATCAGCAGCATGTCAAGGGAAAATGAAATATTTTAATGACAGGAAAACTTTGTATTCAACTATGCAAAAAGCTCAAAGAGGAAGCAGAAGAACAATGTTGCACTTTGTTTACATGATGCAAAGAAATAAAGGACATTTACAAATATTATTCCATGATAGATACTCTATTTATAATAATGTTTTGAAACTAGCAAGTTTAGTGATTCATTACACCAGTGATGACTGCAAAATGCATGATTCTACAGCAAAGAACATGCTCTTAAAGAATCATATTATTTTCCAGCTTCATGAATGACGGCAAAATCACTTACTTGATAAATTATTTGATTCCATATTTCTGAAAACATATCTTTGATTTGCCATTAGAATCACCTCAAAGCAATAACATTTTTCATCACCACAGAAACTCAACTAATACATAAACAGGCTTTAGTACATCAGAAGGTAAGATATATTGGTTAAATTGGACTTTACTTCAGATTCTGTAGTTTAATTCTTTACTTCCACAGCTTCTTTCTCAACCTTTTCTTTTGCCTTCTCTTTTTCATCCAGTTTCTCTTCTTTTTGAAGCAGTGCCATAATCTCAGCAACCTGACTTGTTGAGATATCTATGTCTTCTTTGTCAATTAATTCTACCACCTATATAAATATCAAAAAGGAAATGCACAAAAACATTAATTTTCACACAGGTGGAAGCATTCTGACATCCTAAATTTAGCTAAGAAAGAGCACAAGTTCTTTCATGTGCCTAAGCAAAATAAAGTTCTTTCACTTGTTGCGTCAGATCATATACCATAATACAGTTTTGCAATATTTTTAAAAATTATTAAAATCCAATGGATTTTTAATGACTCATGTAAAGTGTCTGGAGATCTAAGCTTAGTTCCTAATGAACTGTCCTTGTCAAGTCCATTTTGCTATGAATGTGTACGCAAAAATTAAGGGCCAAATTAACAAGGGCATGTTCCTCAAGTTGTTTAAGCTACAGCAGATTGCCCTCACTAAGCAGGTTTACACCCACATATACCTAGAGTGACTGTGACACTGAATCATGGCGTCAGACATCTATAGTCTGCTTGATGGAACTATGACAGCCCACATGGCATTCAGATTCTGAACTTTTGTATTTTTAAATATCAGTATGTCTTCCTGATTGTGAAGAAAGCCTTACACTCAGTTCATGTTTGGAAACCTCATGCAGTAATTTCTTCCTTAGACTGCAGGCAGCTTAAAAAATATATTCACATTTGAATAACCCATCACCCATTATCTTACTGAAGTGTTTAGGGTTGCCAGGTGTCCGGTTTTGAACTGGACAGTCTGGTATTTGAGCTTTCTGTCCGGGGGAAAAATGAAAAAATACCGGACATATAAATGTCTGGTAATTTCTCATTAAGTAAGTTTCATTATTATGAGTATCAGTACATATTTAGCATATATTAAATTTAGGAAAATTTCTGACACTCATAATACTTAAGTTTTATTATTGCATACTGGCACTCATAATAATTAAGTAAGCTTTATTATGAGTATCAGTATGTACTTGCACACTGCATGTGCGTGTCTACTAGCCAGGCAGTACACAACTAAGCAGTAGAGAGGATGGGGGCGGGGTGGGATGAGCTCTGCCAGGGCTGTGCGTGGGATGGGAAGCACCCGGGATCTGCCTCCCGGCCAGCCCTCCTCCCCACCAGCTAATTCTCTCCCCCTGGTCTCCCTTCCCGGCCAGCCCTGTTCCTCCCGGCCTGCGTCTCCCATCTGAGATCAAGTGTATCCGGTATTTTTTTTTTAAGCCATCTGGTAACCCTAGAAGTGTTAACCCAAATTTCAATAATGAGAACACTTTAAAATCAACATTAAACATTTCACTGCTGATCGTTTAGGGGCTAAAACTGAAGGATCTGAAAGTTGCTGGAGAAAAGCAAATTAAAATAGAAGAACTGGAGCAAGAGAGAGGAAAAGAAAAAGAGGCAGAAATATTACTTTCTTCTAAAGCTGACTTGTTCTGTATTGAAAGATGGTGAAATGCAACAATAAAGTACTTAGCAAATACGACAAAAAGTTCATAACTAAGGACCTGATTTACATTTGTGTTATTAGCTGTCAACCAATGGAATTATACCAGTTTGAACCTGGAAAAATGCAGTAGTAAAGCATACTTTATATTCATTAGTACAAAAAGGCTACTTTCTGTTCTTGATCCTAGTGCAAACCTCTAAATAAAAATGGGAAATCTGCCATTCCTTGAAGATAGTATATAATCCTAAATTTATACCCCAGCCCATAAGTTAAATTCAGCTTTTATCTGATAAATGAATTGGCACCTATGTTTTATGTGGACTTGCTTTTATCAACATTTTAAAACAAGTATTCTACAAGAGTAAAGAGTATAAAATCTACATTTACCAAATGCTAAAATACAGAGTCTCAAACGGACTCAAATAATGATGGTATCTCAAATACTATTTTATATGTCACAAATATGTTTAAGCTTAACATCTTCCTCTTCAGTAAATTCAAAGAGCATTAAAGTTAAAAAGAATGTTGGGTTCTAAAATAAAATTATTATTAAAAGTTTTTATCATCTGAAAGCATGAGGAATATAATGTGACAATAGTATTTTAACAAACCTGTACCAATTTGAATTTTTTTTTAAAAGAAAAAAAAAACAGTTTTAGGATCTGTAGAGTTTCTGAAGTAGTTTTTTAATAAAATTCAACATATTAAAATTAGCAGTGTCAGATAAACAGTGTTAATAAACATATGATCCTAAAGCCGGGGCAATCCAAATGCTGAGCAAAAAAACCAAATTGAATAAAAAATTAAAAGTGTTTTCAATCTTTTTAAAAACAAAAGAAGAAAGTTATTATCCCTGTATAAAATTCTATAAAACTCCATAATGGTGATTTTACTCCACAAAGATTTAAGGACAGCATTCCTCATATATCCACCAAAGTCTCTGAAGTTAAAGGAATTACATCAGGAAAGGATTTGGCTTTTAGACTTGGTAAATGTAGCTCAATTAAATAGTTTCGCTGAGCTATTATGAAGGATTTTTTTTTAATTAAAGGACTACAAGGTTCCCACACTAACGCTCTAGCTCCCCTCCAGATTGGTGATAGAAATGTAGCCGTGTTAGCCTGGGGTAGTTGAAGCAAAATGCAGGACAATGTAGCACTTTAAAGACTAACAAGATGGTTTATTAGATGATGAGCTTTCGTGGGCCAGACCCACTTCCTCAGATCAAATAGTGGAAGAAAGTAGTCACAACCATATATACCAAAGGATACAATTTAAAAAAATGAACAAATATGAAAAGGACAAATCACATTGCAGAACAGAAGGGGGATGCGGGGGGGTGGGAAGGGGGAGGAAGGAAGGTAAGTGTCTGTGAATTGCTGATATTAAAGGTAGGGAGAGTGGGATGTTTGTGAGTTAATGGTATTACAGGTGATAATTGGGGAAACTGTCTTGGTAATGGGTGAGATAGTTCAAGTGTTTGTTAAGTCCTTGTTGGCAAGTGTCGAATTTTAACATGAATGACAGTTCAGAGGATTCCCTTTCAAGTGCAGATGTAAAAGGTCTTTGTAGCAGAATGCAGGTGGCTAAGTCATTTAGAGAGTGTCCTTTCTGGTTAAAGTGGCAAGAAACTGTTTTCTCTTTGTGATCTTGTCTGATATCTGTTTTGTGGGCATTAATCCTTTGGCGAAGTGTCTGAGATGTTTGTCCAATGTACATAGCAGAGTGGGCTTTCATTAAAGAGGAAAAAAGGAAATAATGTAATATTGTATTCACTGCTACTATAAGTCATCACTTGCATAACAGCAGAAAAATAACTTTCAAATGAACTAATCTAAGTTTTAACATGAGCTTCAATGCAAACCTAGAGCTGTTTCCACACAACTAAGTAACAGAAAGGAGGAGAATAGCACGGGATAGCCAGAAAAACCTCTGAGAAGAAAGAAAAATGTAACATGACACCAAGAAGAGGAAGAAGTGGACAGTATTTACAGTGCATCCCAGAATTATCCAAAGTGCACTAATCAGGAAACTGACATGATACGTAACAGTCAGCATGGATTTGTAAAGAACAAATCACGTCAAACCAAACCGATAGCTTTCTTTGATAGAATATCAAACCTTGTGGATAATGGGGAAGAAATAGATGTGATATACCTAGAAGTAAGTAAAGCATCTGGTAGTCTCCCATGATCATCTTCTTGTAGATGAACTAGGGAAATACAACCTAGATGAAGCTACTAAAAGGTGGATGCATAACTAGCTGGATAACCATTCTCAGTGAATAGTCATCCTGGAGGGGCTTAACAAGTTGAGTTCTGCAGGGATCAGTTGTGGGGACTGTTGAATACCACTGAATAACAGAATGTTTAATATCTTCATCAACTGTTTAGATAATGGAATATAGAGAATGCTTATAAAGTTTGCAGATGATACCAAGCTGGAAGGATACCAGATGATACCAAGCTGGAAGGATGATACCAAGCTGCATGTGCTTTGGAGGATAGGATTATAATTCAAAATGGTTCTGGAAAAACTGAAGAAATTATCTGAGATAAATAGGATGTAGTTCCCTAAGGACAAATGCAAAGTACTCCACATAGGAAGGAACAATCCATTCCACACATACAAAATGGGAAGTGATTGTCCAGGAAGAAGTACTGCAGAAAGGGATCTAGGGGTCACTGTGGACCACAAGCTAAATAGGAATCAACAGTGTGATGCTGTTGCAAAAAGCAAACAGCATTCTGGGATGCATTAACAGGAGTGAGTAAGCAAGACATGAAAAGTAATTCACTCTCTTCTGCACTGATTAGGTCTCAACTGGAGTACTATGTCCAGTTCTGGGCACGTCATTCCAGGAAAGATGTGGAGAAATTGGAGAAGGTCCAGAGAAGATAAAAAAATAGTTAAAATGTCTAGGAAACATGACCTATGAGGAAAGATTGAAAGAATTGGGTTTGTTTAATCTGGAAAAGTGAAGACAAAGAAGGGACATGATAACAGCTTTCAAATACCTAAAAAGGTGTTACACGGAGGAGGAAGAAAAATTGTTCTCCTTAACCTTTAATAATAGGGTAAGAAGCAATGGGCTTAAGTTACAGCAAGGAAAATTTAGGTTGGGCATTAGGAAAAACTTCCTAATTGTCAGGGTGGGTAAGCCCTGGAATAAACTGGCGAGGGATGTGGTGGAATCGCCATCATTGGAGCTATTTAAGAGCATGTTAGATAAACACGTGTCAGGGATGAAGCTAGATGGTGCTTGGTCCTGCTGTGAGTGCAGGGGATGGGACCTGATCTCTTGCGGTTCCTTCAAATTCTAGTGTTCTATGATTCTATTATATGCATTTAAAAGAAACTTGGGGGTTCAGATTATCAGGATCCCTGAAATTCTGTTGCTACAGAACTTTACAGAGCTTCAAAACAGAAGAGGTTCTGTAGTTTCACAGCAAGGAAGCTTCAGAGAAATAGCTGCTTTTTTAAGGACAACCGATGGCCTGGTGTGCTCTAGACTTAGAAATTCAGAGAACATGGAAACATCTCTCCCACATGTCCATATAGTTTAGTATTCTGGATACATTAGGAAATGATTTTGGCTAAAATACCAGTCTTAACTGTTGGTAATCATTAAAAATCTCACAGCACTTTTCTAAAGAGAAGGGAACAATTGCTTCCTCCCTTTCTGTCCCCACGACAGTTAATATTTTCATATTCCAAAGCATTGTGCATAAAAGGAGTTAATTTATAAATATCTAGTATAAGGCTTTAATTAAAAAATAAGCTTTCCAACCAGCTTACTAGTAGGTCTGTCGGGGAGTGCCACCAAAAAGCATCCCAGAGGATACCCTCCTCCACAAATGAAGGTAACAGGTTTACACTAAGAAACCTCTTCCACTGAGAAAGAGAAGCTTTTGGTTTATGGATGAAGAGACAAATATTGGATATGGGGAGGAGTCCTGATTCCCCCAAACTAATGGCAAAAAGTCTCCATTAATTTTGCAGTAGGTACAGTAAAACTCCAATAGTCCGGCACCAAATTGTCCGGCACTCCTGATAGTCTGGCATCAAAATGGCAAGAGCTCCTGACGGAACCGGGATGGAACCCGGAACCACTCAGGTCAGCCGCTCTCACGTGGGTTACAGCCGTGGGTTACAGCAAGGAGGGGAGGTGTTTGGCTCTGGGGAAGGGGAGGGGGATTGGGATATTCACGGCGTCCCAGCCAGCCCATTGAAAAGCTGGCCGCTCAGCACATGTGCTCCAGCGCCTGGAGGGAGACTTGCGGCTGTACCAGGACAGGAGCATAAGGTTGGGGGGGGGGGAGTGGGATCGGGTTACAGCAGGGAGGAGAGGCATTTGACTCCGGAGAAGGGGAGGGGAATTGGGTTACAGCAGGGAGGGGAGGTGTTTGGCTCTGGGGCAGGGGAAGGGAGGGGGATTGGATTACGCATGGCGTCCCGGCCAGCTCACTGAAAAGCCGGCTGCTCAGCACACGTGCCCCAGGAGACACGTGGCTGTACTGGCAGCTCCAGGCCCAAGCATAAGGTTTAGGGGGGAGGGAAGGGGGCTTGGGTTGGGAGTAAGCAGTACCTCCTGATACTCTGGCATATCCGATAATCTGGCACCACCTAGGTCCCAAAGGTGCCGGATTAACGGAAATCTACTGCAGTATGTATGAAACACACAACCACAAAAGAGTAATCTATGATTCAGGTATTTTATATCACAGCAGTATTAAAATAAAGACTTGGGCAAAGGAAATAGCATGAAATTAAGTGCAAACTGTAAAGCAGAGCTACTCAACATGCAGCCCATGGGCCTTTTCCCTGCAACCCATGGTGCCTTGAGCCACTTCCCATGCCGCCTGACTGATTGCTACCGGCTGATCGGGGGGTGGAGGTGTGGCAAGAGGCAGCAGAGTCCCCCCCAGAAGCAGAGCCACACCTGTGCGTAAGGGAAGAGCTGCTGGCCAGCGGGCGGGGGGGGAGGGGCGGCGGCAAGAGGTGGCAGAGACTCCCTAGAAGCAGAGCAGTGCGGCACTGATAAAAGCTGCGCCTGCGCATGAGCAGGAGCTGCCAGCTGGCGGTAAGAGGTGGCAGAAATTCCCCACAAGTGCTGTCATATGGGTAGAAGTTGGGTAAATATTGACTTTAATTAATATCAGCAGAACTGACTGAAATGGGGCCTGCATCTTGCATAGTCTTGCCTTAATCTTTGTATTCCTGCCTGTCAGTATGAAAGACACTATTTGCATATATTTGCACACACACACACACACACACACACACACACACACACGCTTAAGTTGCGGCCCTCAGCATCTGCTGTGGGTATCATTGTGGCTCCCAGGGCTTCAAAAGTTAAGTGGCCCTGCTGTAAAGAGTAGCTAAACTTAGCAGTTTTTTAACAGTGTAATACTAGTTTTGTTTTATTAAACTCTTCTGGAGACTCACCTTGGTAACATCGTCTATATCAATCTTGCCATCTTTGTTTTCATCTAATGCCTCAGCAATTCTGTTCAGTTTGGTCTCTGGAAACTTCTGGATTTGTTTCATCGCACTAATAAGCTCGTTGATACTGATGAGATTTTCCCTAAAGGGGAAACACAATCTGTATACAGCAAACAGTTACTACAAAGAAGTAAGGAGGAAGAGAAAAGGATAGTAAAGCACATGTATTGGTATTTTATATGAACAAAAGGTTTATACTAATCAAAAACTAAAAATAAAAAAGGAACAATGATTTCTCTATCAGTTACTAGAGTTCTTTAAGTAGGTCTTCATCCTCCAGTCATACTCACTCGTGGTTTCCAGATGCTGAGTTGCATAAGTACAAAAGCCAATGACAACAGAAATACATTCGGTAAAGCTTCTGTGCTCCTTAGCACCTAAAAAACTTTGTCCTATTCACTCTGGGTGCATTATTACCCTGCCTCAGTCATCCTGCTGGACTTAAGAGAAAATAGAGACTGGTCTACAGAAAAGAGAGAGGAAAGCAGGCAAGAGAACCCATCTGAACAAATCCTAGGGAGGCAAGAGTTAAGGAATATTTTCTTGTAACAGTGTTAAAATGCACTTAATTTCCTCAAACATCAAAAACAAATCCTTCTACAAAACATAAGGACTGAGCTCCAGGTTACTCCTAGAAAAATTTCAGAAACTGCTTCATTAATTCTGAAGTCTGCCAGGAGGCAACATGGTGCTTTCACCTTTGCCTTTTGTAGGCTAAAGCCTCTGCTTGCCCTCATGAAGTGGTTTACACCTTCCAACCCAAGTTACACAGATGTAGAAGTTGATAAAACTAACATTCCTTTAAGGTAAGAGCTCCATATTTGCCTAACCTCACGTTTTTGGCCACAGACTGATGTTTCACAAGTGGGAAGAAAGACATTTCTTTGAACTACCATTACAAATTCCTGGACTTCTGCTGATGCAGTGACCATGATGCTCACTGTAAGCTATGTGCCCACGTAGGCGCGCAGCCCTTTTCTGAGCCCTGTGCAGGCAGGAAGCTCAGCGGATTGGCTGGGGAATGGGGAAAGGGACACTCTGCCTGCCTGCCATAAATGGAGAAGCTGGTTGGGTCCAGCCTCTACTCCAGAACTGGGCAAAAGATGATCTATGGGCTGGATCCGGCCATGAGAGCTTCAGCCAGCTCCCTGCCTGCACACCCTGCTCAGCACTCATGAAAGCTAGATGCAGGGCCACATAGAATCATACTAGCTAGAGTGGACCGGCGTTGCTCCACGCCGGCCGATTCGCTTCCCCTTCTCCCACTGCCAGCCCTGCTTCCTGCCGGCCGGTTCTCCAGTGGGTCCAGCCTCTACTCCAGAACTGGGCAAAAGATGATCTATGGGCTGGATCCGGCCATGAGAGCTTCAGCCAGCTCCCTGCCTGCACACCCTGCTCAGCACTCATGAAAGCTAGATGCAGGGCCACATAGAATCATACTAGCTAGAGTGGACCGGCGTTGCTCCACGCCGGCCGATTCGCTTCCCCTTCTCCCACTGCCAGCCCTGCTTCCTGCCGGCCGGTTCTCCAGCTCCTGATCTCCCCCGGCCAGCCCCGCTGCCCTTCAACCAGCCCTGCTTCCCAGCCCTCCCATTCCCCTCCCAGCCAGTTGCTTTCCCACCCTCTCTCCCCCATCAAGTGTGGCTGTTTTTTGGGGTTTTTTTTAAGACTATCTGGTAACTGTAGCTACAGGGGGCAGGGCAGATGCCAGAGCTGTTGTGCACGTGGGGGTGGGGCGAGTCCCAGATGGTGACCTAGGGTGGGCAGGGCTGCCCCTGCAGCATAGCGGGGCAGGTTATTTTTCATTTTTACAGGTTGAGATTGGGCCCGATCAGGTCCAAAAGTACCTTAAAACCTTCTCCTGGAGGAAAGGTTATCCCGTGGAAAGTCTGGTTGTGGTAGGTCTTATAGTGTCCAAGTTATTAGAGCACAAACATACAAACATTCTCCTTTATAAATTAGATTCGTGTGTTTCTGAATTCTGAGAGCCTAGAGGGAGGAGGAGAAAGGCATCTCATGCTGACTCCACCCCCAGTAGCTCCCATTGGCCAGTTTCCACCAATACCAGCTGCCTGGTTGCAGGACAGGCAGCATGTGACCTTTCCCTCCTCCCTCAGGCTCACAACATTTAGTTCAGAGCAATAAACATGGCTCCTGCAGCTCCCCTGAGCACGTACAGGGCTGGAAGGCAGGGTCCCTCACTAAGGAAATAGGTAAGGTCTCTGAGCCAGAGCCCCTTTCTGGCACCCTAGTCCCTCCCCTCCCAACCCTCTGCCCTGTATCTCATGTAACCAAATCTTCTGCACCCCTGCTCCAGCCCCCATAGGCCTTCCCAGACACTGCATCCCCTCCTACACCTCTCCTCAGGTTATAACCCCCTTTCAGACCTTGTACCCCAATCCACTATTCCTGGTCAGAGCCGAAATTCCTGCACCCCGTCCTGCACTCCTGCCCCAGGTCACAACCCCCTCCCAGGCCTTGCATCTCCTCTTACGCCACTCCATTATCCCAGGTCATGACTCCCTAGTTCGCCCAAACCCCCTCCCAGATTCCGTACTCCATTCTCTTACCCCAAGTTCCCTTTTGCACACAACCTCTCTCCAAGAGCCCTGCACCTTCTCCATTAATATAATGGAAGAGAGTGGCCTTCAACCGCTTACCAAATTCTTGGAGTGGGCCCCCATCAAAAATTATTGCCCACCTCTGTGTTAATGGTTTAAGGTAAGAAAGGGTATGTCTAGACTGCATCCCTCTGTTGGCAAAGGGATGCAGATTAGGCAGGTCAACATTACAAATGTAGTGGGAATTTAAATATCCCATGCTTAACTTGCATAAAAATGGCCGCCATTTTTGCCAATTCAGCACTTTGTTGGCAAAAAGCAGCAGTCTAGAAGGGGATCTGTTGAGAATGAAAGCTTTTTTCGACAGATCCTGCAAACCTCCTTGCAGGAGACATAAGGGATCTGTCGAAAAAGGCTTTCTTTCTCGACAGATCCCCCTCTAGACTGCCACTTTTTGCCGACAAAGTGCTGAGTCGGCAAAAATGGCGGCCACTTTTAGCAAGTTAAGCACGGGATATTTAAATCCCCGCTACATCGGCAATGTCGCCCTGCCTAATCTGCATCCTTCTGCCAACAGAGGGATGCAATCTAGACATACCCTTCAGCATAAGACACTGAAATAACCCAAACATTTCCTTGTAATAACTTAGAAATTCAACTAAGATTAAACAGAATATTAGGCTGAGATTCTCCCCCCTCCCCCCCAAAAAAGGAGATTGACTGTTCCAAAGCCTAACCAACAGTAAGGAAAAATACACACTTACATGCATAAATTAAGACATGAGGATAGGGTCTGATTTGGAAGTTTAAAGATGTACTGGGTTACCAAGCTTGTTTCAGAACTCAAATACACAATGTTAACTACCCATTGTAATAGTCAAATGATGGTCAACCCATTTGCACTTTCACACACAAAGAGCATATACAAAGTGCTCCAAAATCTGACAGTAATTCACTTAACTTCCACCGACAATCAATCAAAAATCTTGTATTTTTCAACCTGATACACCTATAAGGATAAGCCTTGCCTCCTGCCAACACCATTAAGTACTGTCAGTTTAATTCATGCCAACACATGGAAATTTTGTCCTATCTGAGCTGATATTTTCTCATTTTTTTATTGACAGCTATCATTCCATTATCTCACATTCAGTTTAGAAAGCCTCTTCCCTAATGGAGCAAACACTCACTTCTGATAAACCAGCCAACAAAGGGAATGCTTAAGAGCAGCTATTCAAAACATCAGGTTAAAAAAGACACACAAATAGTCCAAGGACATGCAACAGAACCCTTTGCACACAGGACCGCAATCTAATTCCCATTGAAGTAGCTTCCATCCATTTCAGGTGAAGCCAGATCAAGCCCATAACTGGTAAAAATTCTAAGCAACATGGCTACAACACATCTGAGCACAACGGGGCTTTTGTGCACTCTTGTAATATGGAACTGATTATCTAGTAAAAACAGTTCAGTTACATACCTTTGTCAGAAATATTGGAAGAACCACAAAGTTTGACTGATCATTCACTGATTTCCTGCACTCCTAGAGGACTTTGCATATAATGGTTTTATAGAAGTATACAATTAAACCGAAAGCCCAGATTAAAAATACCTTATTAAATATTAAATAAAAAATACCAGATTAAAAAAAAGCCAATCTTTGTTAGTGAAGACTGGTCACCCTCTGGTTTTCCCCATAGCTATCATTAATCATGTTTGTCTCAATCTTATGACAGAAATTGAAATAGTTTATATCAATATAGAAATTGAGTGAAGACTTTATGAAGTTTAGAATTTAATAAAAGGAATACTCATCCCTATTTATAGTGTGAATTGTTTGGGGGCACAAATATCTTATATTTATATACCAAGCAGCAGAATCAAGCCCCACCTGTGATTTTGAAGCCTGGCTGCAATATTAATGTGTGACAGCAATGGTATTCCTGAGTTTTGAAGGTGGAGAGAGGCAGCAGGAGGGGCGGGAGAGAGACTCCTACCGAAATCAGAACTGCATAAGTATCTGAGGTTTGATAGTTGCACCATACCTGCATAATAAAATCTTTATGGAATTTGTTTGGAGATCAGAAAGTGTGCCAAGATAAAGGATAGGTCTTCTCTGAAAAGGGATTATATAAACATATTGCCTTTTTTTCCACATTCCCTTGGTTTCTCCCAAGTAGTAATGGTTTACCTCATGGACAAAATTTGATTCTACTGCTTTTTAATCTCAAGAGTGCGCACAAAACTGAAACAGATTAAAGTAGGCAGCTAACTATCTTATGTGCATCTGATTTTGTTTACTAAGTTGCAGTCAGCAAAACTACCATAAACCTAGCGCATAAATAAGGTCTTCACACATGTAACTAAGGTCATGATTTGGCATGCAAAATCTTTACTACTGGTGTCAAGCACAAGAAATCAAAGTCCTAAAGAACCCATCCTGACTCTCAAAGCTCAGACTTCGTTTGCAGAACTGGGAGTTTGGGGAGAAACTCATCATCTTTATATTTATGTATTAAGAGATTCAAGACAGACAATGAGGAGACACTGAGAGCGAAGCTCACAATGCTATTTTACAGTCACTATTCAGAATTGAACTGTATGTTAACATTTTGAAACAAAATAACTTATTTTTTTCCAAACCAACCTATTAAGGCAAGAATTCATTTTCCGCCTACATACAGGCTGATAGGGAGAATGAGTAAGGAAGTGTATTGTCCTCATTCACTTACCCAATAGGTGGACTAGCACCGCTGTCCAACTGTCCATCCACCACCTTTTGGTCTGTTTCTAATTCATTAATAATTTTGTCAATTTGTCCAATCATTCGATTCACCCTTTTGGTCAACCTCTTGCTCGCCTTAGACTCTTCTACCACATCTTCTTGTCCTGTTTTAGATAGCTCCTTTATCTCCTGCAAATCCTAAAGGAAAACGTTTTAGCAAAAAAGCATTCATGAAGAGATAAATTTGCAACAACAAATATACTATTGTTTACACAGAAAAGCAGGAGACCTGTGCAAATAAAAAAAGTTTGGTTGCAGCAGGAGTGGAAGCAATTATTGCTGTTGTCAGACAAGGGAAAAGTGAAATTTAGAGACTAAAAATAAAGATTAAATTCAGAAATATTCTTACCTTGTGGTTATTTCTACATGTCCCTTATACAGTTGTAAGAACTCTCAATGGTTCCTCTCCTCCCAATTAAAAACCTTGTATCAATTCTAGGATTTCAACCATACATCTTTCCAGTATAGTACAAAGACTTCTTTCGGCTAGTGTTAACACCATTTTATAGATTTGAGAGAGAATCAATAAGAAATAAGGAGAGGCACTGCATTTCCCTCCTATACTATGCTGCCCCTGACAGGTCACTCAGCCCATCAAGCATGGGAGTAAAGACCAGAGGCTAGCTGGTATAAACTGTTGTCATTGCACTGACTTGAGCTGAACTTGAACAACTTACGACAAGCTGAGGGATCTGATAGTCCTGCATGACAGCATACCACACAATATTACTCCTGGAGAAATTCTGTATTACTGTGCAGTGCAGAATTTTGCAGAATTCCATTTCCCCTCCACCTCCTTCAGAATTGCTGGCTGCCACCAAAGTCCACTGGACTCTGCAGAGCCCAGCTCCCAGTGGGCAGAACACTCAGCCTGTGGGCCTGGTAGCAGTCAACTCTTTGATCCCCATTCTTCTGGAAATGGGAGAGGGCCTGGGAGATGCAGCCAGCAGGGCCACACCAAGGCCCCTGCTGAAACCGTAAAGAAGTTGGGAAAAGTACAGGCTCTAAGGATGCAAGTACATGGGTTGGGGGCTACCCTGTGGCTGAGCTCTGTGGGGAGAAGAGTGCTGATGTCTGGGCCTTAGGCTGTCCAGTAGCTGGGCTCTGGAGGACTGCAGGTTTCTGCAGGCTTCACAAAACCCCCTCCAACACATTTCAATTGGAACTAGGTTGTTATGAAGGTTTATTTAACTCTGTGCTCTTAAGGGAATCTTTTTTGCCACTGTTTTTACTGTTGACATACTTGGTGACATGTAATTTGAAAAATAATTAAAATAATTGAAACTGGAGTGATAGTATGCTATTCTGACAAATAAAATAGTCAGAATTTTAAAATCTTGTGTACAGTTTTTTTTTGGTGGGGGTGCGGTGTGGAAGGGGATGTGTGTGTGTGTGTGTGGGTAGAAGGGGCACAGAATTCTGTCAGGAGTGATACAACCACTGAGGAAGTAGGCCTCTACAAACAATTTCTAGCTGGGGTTAGCACCCAAAACATTAATTATAATAGTTTAAGACTAGTTTTTCTAAGAATATGTATGGACAGAGCAATTGTAGAAAGAGTCCTTCACCAACCCATTCTTACCTCACTATATTCCTGAACATCTCCTTTTAGCTCCTGAAGCTCCTCTTTTTCTTTTGTTAGCAATTTCTTCTTTTCCTTCAGTTTGGTGCAAGCATCACTCAGCATGTCAATCTCTTCCTTGGTAATTTCCTCACCCTGAAAAGTAAAATATCCAAATGGGCATATGACATATTTGTGATTTCTTCCAGAAAAATAAGGACGACTGAGTTTGTATATTTATGTTTCAGAGCAGGTATAACATATAGGCCAATATGAAGATTAGTGCATGGATATTAGGTATGTTAGAATAGTCAATCTTAACTCTAAATAACTTTTAAAAAGTTAATTACATATACTTTTGAATACTATACTTTTCCTGTAGCCCCTCTGGCAACTTCCGAGATATTCACAGCCATATTTTCCTATTATTTAAAAAGTGTTTCTCTCCTCCCTGTTGCTGTATGAAAGAACACAGAGGAAATGACTGACAGAAAAAACAATGAAACTGAATGTACAAGTTCTTCAATGCACAAATCAATTGAAAAATATTTTTCTTCCTCTAATCTCTTTAAATGTATATTAATCTTTGGTAATTCTTGTAAGATGAGCAGGTAACACTTTCAAGACAGTTATGTGACTTATAAATTGGTGTCTTTTTAAAATACTTAATGCTCAAAGTAAAACAATCCTAACCTTCAACTATCCCAAAATGAGAACACCGGAAGAAGGACTTAAAAAAAGGGGGGGGCGGCTCATCACAAACAAACAAAATCAAGAAAGGATAGTAATCTCTTTATGTGAAGCCAGAAAATTCAAATAAAGAAATAAACAAACATATTTACATTCATCCATAAGAAAAAAAATAGTGTAACATAGTATTTTAGCCCGCAAAAGTAGCAGACACTGTTAAATGTGATGATTATTTGTAACACTTAGCTCTAACTGTCCATCTTATGAAAAAAATTTCACCCTGTTGCTTCATGGGAAAATTATTATTCCAAATCATCATCTTCCTTTTCACAATTCACTGATAAATGAACACTGAGCAAAAATCATAATGAACTCTTCCAATAACTAAATGACAGCTCTGACCCTTCTAGGTGAATTTGTTTGCTGACCAGTGATAAAAAGAATCAAGATTTTTTTTCCTGCAAAAGTTAGCAAGCCATCATCCATTAATATAACAGTGTCACTTTTGCTGGTCCATTTAACAATTTATTCCATTTCTGACAATGAAATATGCTTCTTTATTAACAATATCTATTTATTTTGGTATAGTCACATTTGCACAAGACAGATACTGAAAACTCAGTATTTCACAAATCAAGTATACCAGTGTGCATTTACACTTTTTAGAAACAAACTAGTCCTGAAGTTTCAATGCTTGTGTGACTGATTTTACATCTCATTTACTGCATAAGTCACAACAAGATCTCTCACTCTCACTCTCTAACCAGAGAACAGCTCACAATGTCAGAAATGAGGTTTTGGCAGGCTCTAACTTTACAGGTACAGGTTGAATCCCGCTTAACTGGGACTCTCCAGTCCGAAAGTTCCAGAATCAGAGTCCCAATGAAGGGCTGGTGGCTGGCAGCCCTGCAGCAGGGGGCTGGAGCCCAGTAGCAGGGCTGTACTGTGGCAGCAAAACTGGGAGCCAAGCAGCAGTGCTGCTGCCTGTTGGCAGTGCTGCAAGGGGGGGGGGGTGCGCACAGCAGGCCTGCCCGGTGGTGGGACCACCCAGAAGCACAACCAGGAGCCTGGCAGCCCCACTGCTGCTGAGCAGCACAGCTGCCTAGTGGGACTAGGAGGCAGTGGGACTGCCCTACAGAACTGGGAGCCCAACTGGGGTCTGCCTGGCAGTGGTGCAAGGAACTGGGGAGTAAGGCTGCCTGGCGGCACACCAAGAGCCCAGCAGCCCCACGGCTGCCTCACGGAGCTGCCCGGTGAGGCTGGAAGGCAATGGGACTGCCTAAGTGGGACTGAAGTTCAAGTGGGGCTGCTGCCTGGTGGCACAAATGGACCCCAGCAGGGGGGCTGCCCCGTGGGGACAGGAGCCTAGCTGTGGGGCTGGGAGACAGTGAGGCTGTGCTTGTGGCGGGGGGGCTGCCACAGTGGGGCCAGTACCCCTCGGAAACCAGAGGGGAGACTGGCAACGAGGCCATGTCTGGGTGGGTGAGCAAAATCCCTCATCCTAGACCAGTCTGGCACCCTCAGGACCTGACAATGGAGGTGCAACCTCTACCATCAATCTCTATTTTCAATAGAGTCCCTAAATGTATAATGTAATAAAAAAAGAAAAGTCAGAGGTAAGACAAAACAACAGTTATTTAGAACAAACTCATCCATTCATGCTGTCTTTTATTAGGTTAAAGCAGCCAGTTTAAAAGAAGCCACTAAATTGTTTCAGAAAGCATCTAAAATTACTCATTCATCTAAATCACAAAGTTTTATTGCACAAAAATATCGACTGGAAAGTTCTGACCAAATGTGTCAACTCTTTTCAGGTTCCCACATCAGATTTAGTTATCAAATTATTTTCATCCTGCCTTTCACAATCCTTTTCCACTCCAAAAATGAACCTTGGTCTACTTTGGACACATGCTTTGTTTCTGCCACATAATTATTGATATCCACATGAAACATTTCTGTACAATTTCTTCCTTGCTTCCATTAAAAAGATATCCCATAGCATTTAAACTCTTTACATGTGGGGAAAAAGGATACCATTTAAATAGATGGATTACCTTGAAGTCTCTGTTAAGGAAACAAAACCCAATTATGTTTGCTTCCCCTTCTTCATATCACAATCTAGAATTTTGGCACCTGATATTATGTTAGTTTCTTAGACTCTTCCCAAGATAACAGTGAAATTCTATTGTATACTAGGCAATATTGTTCACAGTATTCCAGATGAGAATCAATCAGTACCTTTTAAGTGACTACTCTATGTAATTTCTTTGTTGGAGTTACTCTGCTATTATTACAACCTTACATATTTTTATTTTACTAAGGAAGTGATGATTACCTACAAGCAATTTGATGTTTAAAATAGGCATTTAAAGTTAGCAGTGATGTTGGGTTTTTAGAAAAATCTGATAGTCCCATCTCCTGGGGCAACAGTGAATTTTACTATAATTTGAAAAATAAGAGTTTAGATACAAGTTATATGTAAGGGGGTTTGTAACTAGGTGGGAAATGCCCATATATATTATTTTACTCCAGAAAACACTCCCACAAATGGCAGAAAACCCAGAGTAAGCACCACTAAAATCAAATCTTTTATACAGCAATATGCTAAGTTTTAACAGAGTGTTAATCAGCTAAGTAATTCAATTTCTAACCTTAGAAATGTAAAATATGTTCTTAATCTTAGGTACCACTGCCACATTTCAAACTTTGCAGCGTGAAAGAAAATAGCAACTAGTAATGTCAGTTGTTTGAATGATTAATGTAATGCAACTACAATATGGTGCAGATACCCTACGCTACATAGTCTAAATGGAATTACAAAATCTCTCACACAAAAAACTACTACTGGGAAAAACAAAAAAAAGCAGTCATGTAGCACTTTAAAGACTAACAGGTGATGAGCTTTTGTGGGGACCCACTTCTTCAGATCATATTCTGAAAGTGAATTGGTATGACCGTTATCAGGGCTCGACAGGGCCCGCGGCGAGTGGATTTTCCAGCTGGCGAGTGCAGGGGCGGACTGGCCTAGTGGGCCGTTGTGACGGGCTGGCCGAAGCCCGCACTATGGGCGGCGCGGCCCCATCCGATCCGCCGGCTTGCAGAGGAGCACAGCGTTGCTGGGAAGGGGGAAGTGCGGCAATTCTTCCCACCAGGCTGCCTGCATGCAGCTCTGGCGCGAGGAGGCAGGGAGGCACGCCAGGACACTGATTCTAAAGGGCCGCGGCAGCTTGGCTCTGGCTGCGTGTCCCTGGGAGCTGGCTGCGGTGTGCGGCTCCAGTCCTGCCACGGCCCCAGCCCCACTTTGTCTCCACGCCACTTGTTCCACACGCCTCCCCTGCACCCCGGACCCTCTGCTCTCTCTTCCCTGCGACCCTTGCGCTCTGTGCTGCCTTTACACACCGCACCCTGCTTCCCCCGATCCTTGCCCCCTCAGCTCTGTGCTGCCCATTCCCTGCACTGCCCTTAGACCCCGATCCCTCTGCCCCTCCCGTTCCCTGCGTCCCATTCTCCGTGCCTCCACCGCACCCTGCTACCCCTGATCCCTGCATCCCTCTGGCTCTGTGCCTCCAGTTCCCCGCGCCACCCCTGTACTCCCCCACTGTTCCCTGTACCCCTCTGGCTCTGTGCTGTCCCTGCACCCTGCTCCCCCTATGGGTCGGGAGTGACGGGTGCTTGCCCATAGGGAGGAGCTGGACAGGCCAGGGAAAAAGCTGCTGTGACCCAGCAGCGAGTGAAAGGGGGACTTCACATGAAGCGCCTTTGCCTTTACGGAAAAAAATGAATGAAAATGCTATTTGTTATTTATAGGGCTAAAATGCTGGGATAAAAAAGAAAAACAAAAAAACCATTGTAAAATGCAAACATGTAAAAGACAACAACAAGGGGGGGGGGGAATGTTTTGCTTGGGGCAGCAGAAAACCTAGAGCTGGCCCCTCGGGAGGGGGAGAAGGAGAAGGAGGAGGAGGAGAAGGAGAAGGGGAAGGAGAAAGGGGAAGGAGAAGGAGAAAGGGGAAGGCATCAAGGGACAGGGGTGCAGGAGAGACAAATGCCAGGGGGCCAAGTGCAGACAATGAGGAAAAGGGCAGGAGGGGAGGTGTCAGTGGGAGGGGGGACAGGGTGATGCTGGGAAAGGAGAGGGTAAAGGCACTGGGGGCTAGATGGGGAGGAGGAAGTGCTAGGAGAAGGCTTGAAAGAAGGGGTGGGCATGAGGAAGGCAGGGATGGAGCAAGGCAGCTATGAGGACACAGGGGAACAGAGGCAGAGGTTGGTGAGGGGGTGGGTATCAGGGAAAAAGAGAAAAGGGGGCAGGGGCAGTGAGGGAAGGGGGAGGCACCAGGAGGGTGCAAGTGTGCCAAGAGATTCTGGGGGTGAAGCAGAAGGGCAGACACCTGCAGGGGAGGGACCAGCACCAGAGAAGAGAGGCAGGGCAGGTATGTAGAGGGAGGTTTTAGGAGAGGGGATGAGGAGGGGTAGCTCTCATGATCAGAGTGGGGCTACTGGAGGAGTGGGAACAGGGCAGAGAGAAGGGCTGGCGGAGGGGGGCAGGTCTCAGGAAGGCTGAGGGCAGTGAGAAGGGCAGGAGTCAGGACAGCAGAGGGTGAGGGGTTGAGGGGCAGCAGGCACCAAGGGAGCTGATGGAGCGAGGGGAGGAGACATGGCAGCAGAGAGAAAAGGTAGAGGTTTATAAGATTTTTATTAATAACCTGGGTGATATTTATTAATAACTTATTAGTAATTACTGTTCTTATTCTTATTAGGAATTTATGCCATAAAAAAAGCACTTTTTTGGGGGGAGGGTGGCGAGTCCCTTTTTTGTCTGGCGAGTAGGGTTTTCCATAATTTGTCGACCCCTGACCATTAAATAACAGAGGGATACAATGAAAAGAGAGAAACTGACAAATCAGCTACATAGAACAGAAGGTGGGGCCAAGGGGAAGGGGGTGACAAGGAAGGAGGAAATTGCTTACTGTAAGAGTCAATTAAGTGGCTAATCTGGGGTCACTATGAATATCAAAAGGTGGGGAGGCTGTCTTTGTAATGTGTAAGATCATCATCACCTAGATTAAGGCCCATTCGCAACATATTGAATTTTAACAAATAAAAGTTCTGAGGTTTGTTTTCTATAAACCTAACAGAAACTAAAAAATACTCATGAAGAATTCCACAGAACAAGTATTGGGGGGAGGAGAGAACGAATACTAGAGAGAATAGGGATGTTAAAATGCAATTATGTTGCAAATGCAAATGTTAATTATGAAAATTTCAGCAGTTACATGGTTACACACAGGGGAAGGGAGGAAGGCAGATACAGAGGCAGCAGAGTGGGGGTGGGGGCAGGCATGGGAGCCAATATATGGGGGAAGAGGGAGCTGACTTAAGCTTATGGAAAAGTTTCCTCAATTATGACAGAATGCTGGAAGTCAGAGCACAATCACCTTTTCAAACAAGATTTTCTATAGGGCAAATCTGACAACCACGGATCAACATAAATAGGATAAACTAGTCATTTGTATGTGTTGAGAGCCATTTCCTGATTAATGACTGCTTAAAAATATTGTAACTATGTTCTAGATTTTTTGGGATTGTTAATAGTTATCTTTATAGAGAGTTCTCTGAAATTAGAGTCAAGTATCATCTGACGAAGTGGGTCTTTGCCCACGAAAGCTTATGCTCTTACACTTCAGTTAGACTATAAGGTGCCACAGGACTCCTCGCTGCTTTTGAAATTAGAGTGTTGCTGTTCACTATTTTGTTCTATGAAAGCGAGGTTAGTTTTCCGTGTATGAATCAGTATCCTAGTATGTCAGTTTTCAAGATCACAAAATAGGTGACAGATAGAATCCAAAAAAACCTTTTATAGTATATTTTCAATAAATTCAGATTACAATAATGCAACAAAACATACAGTATTGCTACTCATGATTGAGATGGTTCCTTCCTCTCTGTATTGAGTTTCCTCCACAAAACAGTCTGGGTTTTGCGAAGCTTGTAAAATTCTTCTCTTAACATAGTACAGGTTGAAACTCTCTAATCCTAGACACCTGGGCCCTGACCTGTGCCAAATCAGAGAACTTGACGAATCACAGGTGGTCAATATTGTCTAGCAGCATTATCAGCACTTCAGCTGCTCACTAGTCTCTTAGAAGAGATTTAGGGGTAAATCAGAGCTAAACAGCAGCATAGAACTCTGAAAGCCAGGACTGTAGGCTGTAAATAGACTTTATGGGATTGCAGGAAACTTGGCCACATCCATAATAAATGGATATCCAGCTAACTAAAGTCATGCCAGACCACAGATGCTGGCAGACCAGAGAGTGCCGAACTAGAGAGGTTCATCCTGTATATGTATTTTAAACCCAAGATCCAGCAAAGTACTTATATTCATGTATAAATACTGTGCTTGCTTGGGGACAGTGAACTATCATCTAAGCCCTATACACTCCGCATTTTATAACATTACCCTTCAGCTATTCAAATCTTCTATTAAGTAGCTAAATGATGAAATGGACACCCCAAGAATGTTTTCCTTTCATCTTGACCAATTGTTATCTGTTTAGCAAAATGCCACATAATGCCCAAGGGTGTTATACAAACAATTAGTAACATTAAAAGTGGAAGTGCAGAGGTCTACTATTTTCCTCAAATCACTGAACTGTGTTGAGGAAATTCATTTGTCTCTAAAGACAGTGATATTTTTGTACTGTATCATAAAACCGGTCTTTGATATTAAAAAATTACCTTAATGCCTTCTAACACTGGTGCTGTATCTATCAAGGTCTCTGTATGCTTTGTCAAATCCACACTAGTCAATTCCTGTTCAGTCTCCACAGCTATCTGGCTTTTCTTTACATGTTCGGCAGCTGCTTCAAGGTCCACTGCAGAATCCACCTCTTTCTGAATTTCAAAACCACATTAACAAAGGCACTGATTAATACAAACCTGCATTATGTTTTTCGGTTTTCAGAATTATCTGCTTAATTAGATACAGGTTACAAGCAGGGATGTGAAAGATTAACAAGTTAACCAGTAAGCATCACCCACGGAGGAGGAGTGTCTGGAGCAGCTCCTGCCCACCACAGAGGCAGGGGATTCTTTCAGCCCCACAGGACCCATTGCGGATGGGGCCCTCCAGCCCAGCCAAAGCAGCCCTGGTCCGCAGAGGTGGGGGCTGCAGGCAGGGGCTGCTCTGGCCAGACTGGAACAGCCCCTGCCTGTGGTAAGGGAGGAGCCACTCCAACCTGCACAATCTCCCTTTCATCAAATAATCACTTAAACGTAATGTTTAACTGATTAGCACAGTGTTTCCCAAATGGTGCTCCCCTCCCCCCGCGCATAAAGAGACAGAGTTATAGACTAACCGAAGTGTTGGAGCACAAGCTTTCGTGGGCAAAGACCCACTTCGTCAGATGCATGTAGTGAAAATTTCCAGAGGCAGGAATAAATATGCAGGCCAGGATCAGGCTGGAGATGACGAGGTGGATCCAATCAAGGAGGATGAGGCCCACTTCTAGTAGCTGATCTGGAGGTGTGAATACCAACAGAGCAGAAGCTGCTTTTGTAGTTAGCGAGCCATTCACAGTCTTTGTTTAATCCAGAGTTGATTGTGTCAAACTTGAAGATGAACTGTAAGCTCTTGAAGAATTCCACAGGGATTTCAACAACTTCCAATCCACAATCACTCTCAGCCTAGACCAGCCCACATGAGAGATCCGCTTCCCTGACACTATAGTACAATTAAACAACAGCCACATTTCCATCACTTTATACCAGAAACCTACCAACTCTTACACTCACCTTCATGCCTCTAGCTTCCATCCAAGACACATTTCCTAATCAATTGTTTACAGCCAGGTCCTAAGATTCAACCGTATCTGCTCCAGTCCCACAGACAGAGACAAAAACCTACAGGATCTCTAGCAGGCATTCTTAAAACTTAAATACCCACACAGGAAAGTGAAGAAATAGATTGACAGAGCCAGACAGGTACCCTGATATCAGCTTCTTCAAGATCCAGAATACAAAGATAAAGACATCAAGCTTTTGCTTAAAAAAACTAAAGCTATCGTATATCGCTCGCCGAAGAAGCACACACTATTGGGGAATCACTCATAAAACCATGTGCAAAAGATATTGTGATGTGTATGTTGGATCAGGAGTCTAGTAAAAAAGTTGAGGCTGTGCCACTATCAAACAATACTGTCACACGTCGTATTCACGATCTTGCTGCTGACATCGAGAAGGAGCTTATTTTTCGGCTGCATTTATGTGATGCATATGCATTACAATTAGACGAGTCCACTGACGTTGCAGGTCTTGCAGTTCTGCTTGTATTTGTCCGTTATGATTTTAATAGTTCTATTGAAGAAGACTTACTTTTATGTGAATTTTTGCAAACCAATACAACTGGTGAGAATATATTCAATTGTATCAATAACTTTATGAAAACACATCAAATAAGCTGGGAAAAATGTGTTGATGTGTGCAGTGATGGTGCCAAAGCAATGGTAGGAACAGTGGCTGGCGCTGTAACAGGAATAAAAAATGTAGCACCAAAGTGCACCAGCAGTCACTGCATTCTCCACAGACACACTCTGGTAGTTAAGAATATTTCTCCCTCTCTTAAAAATGTGTGGGACGAAGCAGTACAGATTATTAATTATATAAAAACTCGACCATTACAATCAAGACTGTTCAAAATTATGTGTGAAGATATGGGTAGTCAGCACACAGCCCTGCTTCTACATACAGAAGTCAGGTGGCTATCACGAGGAAAAGTGCTGGTTAGATTATTTGAATTGTGTCATGAGCTCTCTGCAAATCTGATGGATCACAAATTCCAACTGTCTGATCGTTTAACAGACTTTTTGTGGTTATCTAGAGTTGCGTATCTTGCAGACATCTTTACAAAACTAAATGAAGTAAATCTGTCGCTGCAAGGAAAGAATGTAAATATTTTTAATGCGAAAGACAAAATTTTGTCATTGTCACGGAAGCTACAGTTTTGGATCTCATCTGTAGGACGAAATGATTTGGATTGTTTACCAACTCTGAATGATGTCCTTGAAGAAAATGGATACAAACTTGATGAAGATATTCGCAGCGACATTGCAGATCATCTCTGCGATTTATACACGAACATCATTAAGTATTTTCCAAACATCAATGACAACAATAACTGGATTCGAAACCCATTAAGTTTAACAGAAAAGCCAATCAGTTTTTCTACACAAGATTATGAAAACCTAATTGAAATCGCTTCAGATGGCCAATTAATACAAAAATGTAAAGAAGTTTCTCTGATTACATTTTGGAGTGACTTATGTCAAACTCAAGAATATTCATCTTTATCAAGATGCGCAATTCGTCAGCTGTTACCCTTTGCCAGTACATACTTGTGCGAAACTGGGTTCTCGAACTATGCAGCAAAGAAAACGAAATACAGAAATCGACTGAATGCTGCGCCAGATATGCGAATCCAACTTTCTAGTATTAAACCAAATATAAAAAGAATTTACCAAGAAAAGAAGAAAAACCACTCTTCACATAGTTTTCAATGAATATAATTAATATTTGATAGTTTTATTTTTTGTACATATTTAATATGATTTTTGTTGAATATAAATTAATGGTGTTATATTCAATATGTTGAATTTAAATGAATGGTGATCTCATGACCGTATTTAGCATCTTATTACCACCAACTGTGGTGTACTTGCTGTCTGTGTGCGTTTGGGTGTGGGTTTTTTTTTAAATTTTTTATTTTTTTTTGCTTGACAAACTTAATCCCTGGCTAGGGGGTTCCTTGAAATTTTTCTGAGTTTGAAAGGGTTCCGTGGTCAAAAAAAATTGGGAAACACTGGATTAGCAAATTAAATGAGATTTTACATCCTTATTTCCAAGACACTACAAAACCTACAAGAATATTTCTGTCTGTTACAAACTGATCAATTTCCATTAGCATGTCGAAGCATATTTCATAAAAATATGAATAAAATTATGCCTTTTAAAGATAAGGCTTGATTGAAGAAGAACGATTTCCACAAACAAGTAAGCCTAAGTTTATATCACGTATATTCAAATTTTTTGAATGTTAAATATTAGCAAATCTAATTGCAAAGAATGTTTTAGATTAGAAAAATTCGGAAAATCTTTAAAGAAACCAAAAAGTATTTTCTGTTGGCTTCCTATAACAGAATCAAACAGAACAGGTGGAAATGACATTTTAGATCATCTAGTCAATCCCCTGCATTTCAGGATTGTTCTCTATATTTCTTTGACAGCACTCTCCCACGTGTAGGATTCACCACATCTTCCAAATGTGCATTTTGAAGGCTTTTTGATTACAGACAAAACCCAGGAGTAGATGCACTATAAATCCAAAAAGTCCACAATGGGCACATTCATGCTATTTATGCACTTATTTTCTGACAGTGGGAAGTTGCACTTACTGTTGCTGCAGCCTGAAGGATTTCTTTGGCTCTCTCAGCAGCTTCAGACATTCTTTCCATCTCTTTTTCTTGATTTTCTTTTCTAATGGCTGCTTCTTCCTGAAGTGTTGCTTCCAGCTTAGCTTTATTGTCTATTTTTTCACCCTCAACTTCTGCTGCTTTGACTTGAGCCTCTTTGGCCTAAACAGATTGCAAAGACAACATGAACAAACTACTACATTTTGAATTATGTAGTTAAGATGTCTTCAACAGTTCAGTGAACACACTGTCAAACAAAAAAAATACTCTAAATTATATCAAAGAGAATTCTGTTTATCTTGAAAAACCTTCATAACTTGTTTACTTCAATATTGTTAAAACTTTTTATTGTCTAAGATCACTAAGCAGCTATACAAGTCATTCCTTTCTCCTGTTCCCTATATGAATCTTTCAGAACAAAACTTTAAGCAAGTTTTGAAAAACCTTTCCTTAAAAACAGACATGTTTGGCAGATCATATTTTTAAGTTAACTTTTATCCCAGTAACAGCTCCCAAAATAGTGAACTATACACACAGGAAGATGCAGCGCTTACAATCCAAGTCAAAAGCAACATCAGAAGGATGAGGAAGAACATTTATAATCTACTATATATTTTAGAGAGTTTGTCTGTCTGTTTGATTAAGAATTCCTCCTAAGCGGTAAGAGCTAGGACCATCACATTTGGTATACAGCTCTCTCGTACCATAACTTAAAATAACATGAGGGTTTGGTTATTCAGGGAAATGGGATGTATGTGGAATAAATAGGATTGCTTCTCATAAAACAAACAAAAATGAGAATCACCAAAGCAAGTATAAGTATAGTCCTCAAAACTGGCATAACTGAGTGAATGTTAAAAAAGACTGAACCAAGATGAGCCAGAAAAATAGGAGGAACTTGGAATAGGATTGCTTCTCAATTAACCATACAGAAAACGGATTAAATGAAGGTACGGCTGACCAGTGGAAAATCTGGGGAACTACAATCACATTAGCCAACTCTCTCAGCACCATCTGATGCATTAGATCCAGCCCCATGGATCTGTGCATGTCCAATTTTTCCAAATAGTCCTTAACCTATTCTTTCACTACTGAGGGTTGCTCACTACCTTCCCATACTGTGCTAGCTGGTGCAGGAGTCTGAGAGCTGACCTTGTCTGAGAAAATCGAGGCAAAAGAGCATTGAGTACTTCCTCTGTGCTGGTTAGGCCTCAGTTGGAATATTGTGTCCAGTTCTGGGCACCGCGTTTCAAGAAAGATGTGGAGAAATTGGAAAGGGTCCAAAGAAGAACAACAAGAATGATTAAAGGTCTAGAATACATGACCTATGAAGGAAGGCTGAAAGAACTGGGTTTGTTTAGTTTAGAAAAGAGAAGACTGAGGGGTGATATAATAGCCGTTTTCAGGTATCTAAAAGGGTGTCATAAGGAGGAGGGAGAAAACCTGTTCACATCTTGGCCTCCGTCCAGAGGGCCTGGAGGGAGCGGGGGAACCAGGAAATTCAATCTAGCTCTCTTTACCCCCAATCCAGCGCCTTATTCAAAGACCACCTGTCGTGACTCTCATATACACTGCATCACATGGAAATCCACAGAGATGAACAAGAACTGTAAAGTTACAATAAGACAGAAACCTAGCGTAAGTGCTGTGCAGGCTGGCGACTCTGATAAGACTATCGTCAATCTGGGTCAATGCTTGCACTTAAGCCAGGGGTGTCCAAACTTTTTTCAAAGAGGGCCAGATTTGATGAAGTGAACATGCGTGAGGGCCGACCATTTTGCCTGACATTCTTTGAACCATTAAAATTAAATGCAAATTAACTATTTTATGCAAAGTTTATTGCAAACGGCATACTTTTCATTTCGTCACATGGATGACAAATCTAAACAGGTGTTAAATCACTCTGCCTTTCATATCTGAAGGCCAGATGAAAAAAAAATCCAGGAAGCTGAAATATATGTCAGGAACATTGTAAAGTACATTACATATTATTGGTAATAAAGGTTGTCTGTCAACTTTTAAGTTCAAAAAATATGAACAGGAACATAACACCAAGTATACATGTTGTGTCCAAATATATTTATAACTGATTTAGACCAACTGACATTAACTGAGATTTTACAATGTATTCATCTCAATACATATGGATTTGTTGGGGGCCATAAAAGATAGATATTGCCAAATTACCTGTGGGGCCGTATTAAACCGGAACACGGGCCGCAATTGGCCCGCGGGCCGGACTTTGGACATGCCTGGTCTAGACAGTATTTGGTCCTGCTATGTGGGCAGGGGACTGGACTAGATGACCTCTTGAGGTCCCTTCCAGTCCTAGTATTCTATGATATCATCTGTAACGAGGTTGCCTTCTCCATTCTGTAAGGGTCTCACATTTTGCCTGACCTTTTTGTTGCTAACGTACCCGTAAAAACCCTTTTTATTATGTTTCACATCCCTTGCTAGCTGCAACTCCAATTATGCTTTGGCCTTCCTGATTACACCCTTACATGCTCAAGCAATATTTTTATACTCCTTTCTAGTCATCTGTCCAAGTTTCCAGGTCTTTTTTGTATTTAACACAGAAATCTTCAGTGAGGTTAAGCTAAGCTGGTCACCTACTATATTTGATATTCTTTCTGCACATTGGAATCGTTTGGCCCTGCATCCTCAAGAAGGCTTCTTTAAAATAGAGCCAGCTCTTCTGGACTCCTTTCCTTCTCATATAGCCTGCCTATCAGTTTCCTGAGGGAGTCCAAGTCTGCTTTTCTGAAGTCCAAGGACCATATTCTGCTGCTCTCCTTTCTTCTTTTTAATCAGGATCCTGAACTCAACCATCACATGGTCACCGCTGCTCAGGTTGCCACCTGCTTCTACTTCCCCTACAAATTCTTTCCTGTTTGTGAACAGCAGGTGAAGAGGAGCATGACGCCCAATTGGTTCCTCCAGCACTTGCACTTGGAAATTTTTCTCACTATTCTCCAAAAACTTCCTGAATGGTCTGTGTACTGTTGTATCGCTCTCCCAGCAGATGCCAGACCAGGGTGATTTAAATTCCCCATAAGAACTAGAGCCTGTGATCTAGAAACATCTGTTCACTGTCCAAAGAAAGCCTTGTTTACCTCAGCCTCCTGTTGTGATAGATTATAGCAGACACCCACCATGACATCACCCCTGTTAATCTTGCTGCTAATCTTAACCCAAAGACTCTCAACAGGCTTTTTTCCGGTTTCATACTGAAATTCTGAGCAATAATACTGCTCTCTTACATGCATAGGTTTATTTTTGAATGCCTTTTTAAAATTCTACAATTTTAAGTTCAACTTTTATGGTCAAGAGATTGCACATAATTTTATTAGGTGAACTGAAAAATACTGTTCCTTTTGTTTTTTTTTATAGTTCCAAGTATTTGTAATAAATAATAAATAAAAAATGAGCACTGTGCACTTTGTGTTCTAACTGAAATTAATATTTGAAAATGTAGAAAGGAGCCAAATTCTCCAAATAAGGTGAACATTAAATCTTTGTGTCAAGCAATCTGTGAGAAAAAGTTACTCTCGAGATATGTCAGAAAGCTTAATTATAACTGTGCCAGTGATGATGATTTCAAAGTCCAAAGAGAAATTTGTGTTTTGAGAACCATGCTGATCTTCCATAACTAATTTTTAATGCAAGATTTCAGATACAGCATACTCTTAAACAGTTTTTACTAATGAAGATTTGTTCAGATCCTTTCCTCTGTACAAAGCAGAACAGTAAACTTTTAGTTTCTCCTGCTTACTTACGGTCTTTGGACATCAGAGATATTTTGGTTAGGCTCACCCAATATGTTACTCTTAATGGAAGAAAAAAGCATAATACAGCCAGGCTGCTTTTTATTTATTTTCAACTCAAACTCGAATTTGCAGACAGAGAAATGTATACTTTGACCAACTGCATGTTGCACAGCAGCCTGCAAGAGCCAGAGAGTCACAATGTGTGCAACAGACAGCAGCCATCCTCACTGTAGCCATCTTTAACATGGCAGTAGAGCCTCACAGGCTACATATCTTAAGATCTTTACCTTGCTCAGTATGTTCTTTACCTCATACTGAGACATAATACTCCAAGCTTGAACTTTTTTTTTTTATTTTATTTTTTGGCCTGCCATGCCTATGGGATTAAAGATCAATGTGAAGCAGGACACATTTGATTTAAGGTTCATTCTTTCCTCAGTCTTTAATACATGCCAATTTTCTCTATGTGTTTTCAAAGTGCCTCAGAGCGACCTGTTAAAGACAGTTAGGCTTTCCTCAGAACTATGAACAATAAGTCTTCCAACTCCTGCCTATTCATTCTGACACGTAGTAGCACGCACAAAATTTTCAAACACTTGCTGATTTTGATCAGCCAGTCTTCCAGATAAGCAAATAAATATACCATTCAAGTAAATTATAGTAGCTACACTTTTTACACAGGAGAAATACAAAACTAACACTTAACACTAAAAAACAATGTAATTGCTGTGTGTATGTACACACACACACAGAGCCTATTTTTAAATAAACTAGTTCTCACCGAAAGACAGTGTACTGTAGTGGTGATACAGAGCAATACATACCACGATCTCTGGTAGTGTCTGGAGTGTAGTTTTGAGCTGATCAGCTGGTGAAAGTGTATCCGGAAGATACATAGCTCTGGATAAAATAAGCAATGAAGTGGGGATTTCTTGGTTCAGGTGCAGATCTAGCCACTGTAATTCAATAGATAGATATATATATAGTTATATTTTATCACAGAGAACAATAGGAATTACGCAGCAAATTGAAAGTTACCACTTATTTTCCAGATACAATATAAAACAACACGCATGGGTATTATATTTAATTCTTACCAGTTACTAATTTCTCCCAAAAAGAACTGTGATCTTTAGATGAAAGCCACTAAATACAATAAATGCCAGAGTAGTAGCATTCTCTTAAACTAAAGAGATAAAATAACTGTTTTCTTTTGAGATCAAAGTCACAATTTATGAAAGATCCATAATTTGAGTCTGATTAATGTATATTAATTTATAACTCAGAAAACAGTAACAGATTCAGAAAAGGACAATACCCATGTTGTTTGTTTATATAATATACTTACACAGTACAGTACTACTATGTACTATTATTACTACCTTATAATTAAACACATATTGAAGCAATCTTACTGGATATATACCTGTTTAAGTTGTTCCTTTAGTCGTTCTTCTGTTACGCCAAGAGCTCTCATACCTCTTGCTCTACATGCTGCCTGCAGTTCTTTAACAGTAAGACTGTCAACTCCTTCCTCCGCAATCAGCTATAAACAATAAAAAATAAACATCTCATGTGTAAAAATGTAACAGAATAGTAAGCACATTACCTAGATGTTTAAAACAATCACTAAGGGCTGCTGTGATAAAAAAATAGATAGCCACAATGTTTGGAACAAGAGTTGGACATTATTATGTGGTATGGTTCAAGCAGAGTTAAGTTTCAGAACTTCATGGGTTTGGGTGGGAGATATAGAGTTGGTAAATATTTTAAATCAATTCTATAACATTAAATTTGCACTTCTAAAAATATTTTCCCTTTCATTCTAATTGAGCTATTTATATTGTCATTAATGGTAGTTACAAGTAGAGATCTGTGGGGAAACATATATAAATCAAAAGAGTGAAATGGTATGGTGGATATAAAGGAAATAACCTAGTGCTAATGTACATATAGCTAAACTTGTCAAATGGATAGTCCTATCAAGTCCATGTTTACCACTTTATGTCCATGGATCCGTAACTGACAGATTTTAAGAACTTGAGAGGTGAATTAATGAGCTGTGGTTACAGGAGATAAATTCAGAGATGTACTACCTGCATCAGTCACTTTATTAACCAGAAAACTATTGTATTTTTCACTTTCTTGTATTTATCTATCTCTAGAAGTCCTTCATAAACAGGACTTTTCCTCAAATGAGTGGCTTTTCAGAACCAATTAAAGCTACTGGACTTTGGAACTTTGTTCAATTAACAATGCTGTCTGTGCAAGTATGCACTATGCAAGCTTCTCCAAAACAGTTCTGTTGATGTAATCATACCTAATATATTCATATTAATATGAAACATTTCAGTTCTAACACTCCTGATCAGAGAGATTGCCAGTCATGGTAAAGCACATAGCGAGAAAGATGAGCACAAGTGGTTAGCAGAAGACACAAACTAGATCGTTTGAGGAAACTCGCCTAATTTTAAGGCTTCAACCTTTTTGCTGAAGTCTACAATTAGTACTAGTAAAACAGACAAAAACAAATATATGCCTAAGTTAGATTTTTATCCATAAATGTTAGTAAACATCAATTTGACTATATACACAAACCAATGAAAAAATATTTCCCTCAATAATAATTTAAAAAAATTACAGATAGGCAAAATGAGAAATATATGGATTAGGACTTATTAAAGTTTGATTTGACATGATGCAGACATTTTATTTTTCACTTAATTACTTTTTGAATGTCAACAATCAGTCATTAAATGACTCTCTCCTCCATAATTTCCCACCACTGTGATATTTAAAATCCACAAAAATGTTTAAAAAGCTTTAAAATACAATGGATAATATTAATCAAAAGTATAAAAAATAAAAATATACTTGTCAAGCTTAACTACAGCATTGGAACAGATAAGCATTTATTTTTCATCAAATCATGTTTCAAGTGACTTACTTTGTCATCTGCTTTCATGGATCTCAGCCTCATGATCAACTGGAAGCGCAGAAAATTATTTGTCCCCATTGACTGAAGTTCCAACAGTTTACAGAGAGCTACCAGTTGAGGCCTAGTAAGATTGTCCAGTGTAAGTTCATCTTCAAACAATTTAGAGAACCGTAAGATCTCCTCATTACTAGGCCGTTCACCAGTCTCTCGGATCTAAGATAATTAAAAAAAAAATAAAAAAAATCTCAAAGCAAGTTTCATGGATAAAATATTTTTATCAATTAGTACTGAACAGTTCTTAACTAAAATATTTTGCTCCAATTCTGATTTTTCACAATGTTATCACATTTTGTATTTAGAGGCAGGGGTTTTTTGCCTTTCAAAAAAAGGTAAGAGAGGCTGGAACAGAGGGAAAATAAAGTTTTACTTTGGAGAAGCTGCACTTCCCTCTACTCCCCACTTCTTTACCTCCCTCCCCAATTAGCTACAGTGAAACCTTTGTTATCCGGCACCCTGTTAACCAGAAAACTTTGTTAACTGTCATTGCCCCCAGTCACATCTTCATGCGTACAGGCCTGGCTTGGTTTACCACGACTGGCTTAATTTTTTATTTAAGAAGTACTAATCATCTAACTCAAAACAGAAATGTGAGACCAACTGCCTCACACTACAAAACTACCAATATTAAAAACTTGAGTTTTACTATTATTGTCCATTGGTTTTTCCTAGGTTGATGGGACCCTCAGATAACCAGAACACCCTAATCTCTGAGCATGCTGGATAACACGTTTTACTGTATTTGGCTGCATTCTTACCCTTTCACCTTTTCTGTGTTATTTTCCCAGATAATTTGACACGAACCAAGACGAGAACTAGGATACGTCATCCATGGTCAACACTGACCGACGGAGGCCAACAACAAGTACCCCGACACTCCCTCTCATTCCCATACCCTCTACCACCACCAAACTCCCTTCCAGACCCTACTATCCTCACCCCCTCCTGCTCTCCACCTTCCACCCAGATCCTGCATCCCTATCCCACTCAATGGCAGTGCTGTCCTGCACACTAAGCCCCTCATTTTTGTTCCCACCTCTGAGGAGGTCCACAAAATCCACTAACTCTGGAACCCCAGAAAAATAAATCTGGCCTATGGAAAGCCCTGAATCTCAGTCTTCCCTGTCCCTTCTCCCTCACCTCACAGAGGCTGGAGAGCCAGAAAAGTGAGCTGTGTCAGTTGGGGGCACATCAGTGAGAGTTGGGAGTTCTGGGAGTTTTTTGCTTCTCACTTGTGTGGTCCCCAACTGATTTTTCTGAGAGTCAGTAGCCCCAACCCAAAAAAGGTTCCCCACATCTGCCATAAAGAAAAAAAAATATGGAAACATTTTGTGTTGGACATAATTTTAAATAAAGTAAAACATTAAGTTTGATAAACTAATGCGAGAAAGTTAACACACTTAATCCGTTTAATAATTTAAATTAAAACTCTCTCCCCCCAGCTGCAGCACCAGCAAAATGACTTGGGTGTAATTATGTAATTCATGGTGAGTTTCCATTAGCAACGGGCAGTCTGCAGAAAGGTTTGGAGAGGGTGGCCTTGGGGAAGGGATGGGGTAGATCCTGGTTTGCCCGAACATTTTAAAAAGTGATCTTGCATGTAAAAAGGTTGGAGACCACTGCAGTGAGGATTAACCAGGAATAAGCATATTGACTGGTTTTACTGTGCATTACCATCTTGGCTGTTGACCTGAGCAGAGTCAAGCCTGCTGAGTACATCTGCAAGAAAAATCCATGCACTACAGGAATTGGTGATAACTGATCTCTTTGATTATGTATGCAGACAATATAAAATAATGCTAAGGAATTCATGCTGGTGGAGGTACAACAGAAATAATTATTTGTTATTATTAACGATGCAAAAGCATTTTTGCAACTGTTATGTTCTCATCTCTGGTGTTCTTGGTTAATGCCAATTTGGGTTATCATCTAAATTCACCTTATAGTTGCAGATGGCTATTACATTTCACTTCCTATCCTGTAATACTGCTATATACGGTTACTGTGTTCCACAGCAGAGGAGTCTGTTTTTCCGAGTGACATTATTCCTATGTACAAACAGTAATTTGAAAGCCACTTGGAATTCTTCTAAATGAAATGGCACTATTAAATGATTAACTCCACATTTAAAACAATATACTGTAAAACCTAATTGCAGCTCAAAGTAATTTAATTCACAAACTGTGACAATTGTTCAGAGAAACAAAGAGGATTTCTCACCTTTGCTCCAAGAACACAACATGCTATCTCACAACATTCATCATTGTGTAAGGTGCACTTTTTTTTAAATTTAAAAATTATCTATCATGATTTAACTAATAGTAATACGGAATTCAAAGAATCTTAAGGATAAATGGTTCAGTCTTTACACACAAACCCCCCATCACTCCGTCAGAGTACCTAATTAAGTCTTAAGTCTGTCATTACTAATAGACAAAGCTGTGCTAGATACGTAATAAAGGTCTGACGTGAGGAAGCCACTTCATATTTAGCTAGAAGCCACTTCATATAACAGAAGCCATTTAAGTTTCTTGCTTCTTCATGTACGCTAGAGAGTGAACTCTCCTTCACCAATGTGAGAAAGGCCAGAAGGATGAGCTATTGGAATGCGTTAATTGCGTTGTTTTGAGCTGAAGCTCTTACTCCCTACTACTTGTTTCTTCTTGCTGATAACAGTCTCCTCTTTTGAGTTTAATTGATGATTTCTGTAATTGGATGCCCTGACGTCAGACTTGTTTGGTTAAGAGTATAAAGTACTAGGATTGATTTGTATTAGCAGCTTTATGGGGCCCGCCTCTGCTGGGGTCACGTTTGGCTCACTTTGTGCCTTATTGATCAATAAAGCTGTTTGGTTAGCCGCCTAAACACAGAGAAGTCTTTTGCTTCGACACGTTAAGCATGCTGCCCTCAGTTCTATGCTGTTGATGTGTAGGGCCAGATCAGCCTGAGACCACTGGCCCCGTAGATTGGCTTCCCAACCTAGGTTGGAAGCGTCCATCACTAGTAAGAGGGATGGCTGAGAGGGGAGAAAGGAGACACCAGGCCCCTTGTTCATGGCGTCCACCCACAAACGTAGCGAGTTGAGGACTGGTCCCAGCAGGGTCCCAGCTTTATGCCTGTGTTGTGATAGGCTGGTTTCTACACTGATGCTAATCATATTTCTAACAGCCTGAGTCTGAGACGGGCGTACTGAACCACATAGGTGCAGGCAGGTATATATATAAGGCAGTTCCTTGCTGTAGTGGTCAGAAACTGGGAAATGTTCTAGATTATGTCCACCAGAGCCTGAAATCTGGACTTTGATAGAGGCATTCTTGTTTTAACAGAGCTTAGGATGGCCCTTATAAACTCTATTCTTTGAACTGGGGTCAAAGTGGGATTTGCCTCATTTACGAGCAGTCCCAGGTTCTCAAATGTCTGATTTGAGCCTCTACCTGAAGACTGGAACAGCCTTTGACCAGCCACTTGTACACATTCAGAAATACTTGTATGTGATTCTTCTGGAGGAATGTGCCACTATGGACATGCATTTCTTGAATACCCAGGGGGCTGATGACAGGCCAAAAGGTAGAACAGTCAATTGATAGTGAGCTCTATTCAGTACAAATCTGAAGTACTTCCTGTGGGAAGGGACAATGACTATATGGAAGTACATGTCTTTTAGGCCGAGGATGGCATACCAGTCTGCCAGATCTAGAGATGGGGTTATCGAGGCAAGAGAATCCATACAGAATTCAGACTTGGTTATAAATATGTTCAGTTCCCTCAGATCAAGAATGCATCTGAGACCTCCCTGGGCCTTCGGTATTAGGAAACATCAAGTGTAAAACCCATACTCCTTCATTGCTATCTGTAGGTGCAATGAAGGAGTGCAGTGATCCTACAGATAGGTGTGAATTTGGAGAGCACTGCACAAGTATTGATATTCTAAGCTGCAGGTCCCCAGTAGAATAAATTTTCCTTCCAAACAAATTTCGTTTTTTGCACCCTTGGTTTTTTGAGGATGGTGCCTGGATTCCCCGGTGCTCTCTTTGGTTAGCAGCATCGACTACTAACAAGTCTGGTGGTGGGTGGGCATCCAAATGTTCATACCCCTTAGAGAGTACAAAATAGCACCTCATTTCATTTTGCTGTGGGGGACAAAGGATCTGCTAGAGAGACCTGGTCATGTTGAAAATAGTGTTGAAAATGGGGAGAACTACACAGAAGGGACCTGAGGAGGATAGGATTTCTACAACTGGGTCCGTCTCCTCAGTGACCCTCCTTTGTGAGTATGCCCCAATTCTGGGCTACCTTGGGCAACAACTGTTGCAGCATTCTGCTGTCCTCGAGGGCTAGAGCAATAGAAGAATTTTCCACCGACTCATTTGGAGAGGAGGGGTTAAGTGCTGAATCACTGCCCTCTACTCCCATAGGATCATGTTGTGGTTGAGATGGTGAGTTTCTTGGCACTGTGGCTGTGTCTAGACTACATCCCCCTTTCGACAGAGGGATGTAAATTAGACACTTCGAAATTGCAAATGAAGTGGGGATTTAAATATCCTGCTCTTCATTTTCATAATCGCATCATGGTGTTCTTTCGAAAAAGCGCCATTTCGATATTAAAACTGCAGCCTAGACATGGTTCTTTTGAAAAAGCCTGCCGTTTTCGAAAGAATTGCATCTAGATTGCTGTTTTACTTTCAAAATGGTGCAATTATGCAAATGAAGCATGGGATATTTAAATCACCGCTTCATTTGCAATTTCGAAGTGTCTAATTTACATCCCTCTGTCGAAAGAGAGATGTGGTCTAGACATAGCCTGGTTTACAGGATCGGTCGGCAAAGGCTTCCCCAACCAACAGATCCGCATCTAGACTGCTGCACTGTGCTGGATCAGCTGATTGTTGACACAGCACAGCGGCCATGTTTATTTTAATGAAGAGGGGATTATTTAAATCCCCGCTTCTTTGCCTATGCTGGGTAAACTAGTTTACATGGCTCTGTCGACGGAGCCATGTAGTCTAGACATACCTCCTGTGTTCCAAAGGTATACACTGCAGGAGGCATATACAGTGCCAGGTGGAACACCAAAATTGTGACCCTAGGTAGTAAAAAGGGGGCACCTAATGTTGGCACAGATGAATAGACAACTCCTGGTGCCATGGCAGTCACAGGTGCCAGTGCTGTGGTGGCCACCGGTATCAGTGCCGGTGCTGGAGCAAACATTGATGATAATGCCTGAATGACCATCAGAGCAGTAGTCACCTCCACTGGGGGAGCGGTCTCTGGAGTCATGACTATCATCAGTGCAGTTACTGCCTGCACCAAGGTTATCAGCAATGGAAGAGGTATTGGGGTAGAAACTAAATTTATACCTGCTATTGGTCCCAAAAGTGGTACCAACACATACTGGACCAAGGAGTCTGCTGCCGCAGCCTGAGGAGTGAACACCATGGGAACCTGGGAAAGTTGCGTGAACTCTGGTGCCAGGGCTACCAAGGTCAGTCTTGGCGTGGGACTTTGAATAGGCCCAAAGTACCCAGAATGACCACTAGGGATTCCCAGCTGGGTGCCACTGCCCCAGTGGGTGTTGATGGTGACACATGGACCTCGACCTCCTACTGCTGGACGTATGTAAACAGCAGGAGTCTGCATCAGAATCTGTCTCTGAGGCTGATGACCAATTAAGCACTGCAGAGCAGGAGGACTCTGGATACTGTAAGACATGGTCTCATCATGGTTTGTGTGTGCAACAGAGAAGTACTCTCTGGGGATGGCAAGCTGCACGGTAATGGGAATTGTCGAATCAATTCCAGGGCCACCTCAAAGGTCTCTGGGGTCGAAAGCAGCTAAATGTGCCAGTTATGACAGTCCAGGGAGTGATGGAAGGGTGGACTCAATTGGTCCTTTCGTGGGGCTGGAGTTGATGTGCCGCCAGGCACCAGTTTCTCAGACCATACCTGTTGTCATGATTATGAGGGTTAGCCAGCAGCCTGGGGATTAAGGGGTTAACTACACCTAGCCAGGTGGAGTGACCAATAGGAATGTAGGTGGGATTTTTCAAACTGGGACAAAGGAATTTGGCTTTTTTTCTTTTCTCCCTTTTGTCTCTCTCTGAGGGAGCTCTCTGCAACTACAGAGAGGGACAAGCATGTCTCTCTCTCTCTCTCCAAGACACCATTCTTCATTTTCTGTAAGTAGGGTAAAGTTTAGGCAGTTTCGTTAGGTTTTATTGTTTTAAGGATTGGGTATGGGATCTGAGATCTGGCACGGTGTAAAAGATGTTTTGGCTTTTCTTTGTAACTAAGTTCTAGGAGTTTCTCCATGAGTATATTTTGTTACCTCCCTATCTAGTCATTATGGTTGCAACAGAAATATTGTTGTAATAATAAAAGTTCTTTCTTTTCTTTTTATTAACCTGGCAGTGGTTAATTGTGTGCCTTGATTTTTATTTTAGGGGTAAGATTTCCCAAATGATCTTTCCCCTGATTTCTTTATCAACATTTGGGTGGTGGCAGCGGAAGTTTTATTCCCAAGATCTAGGTTTTTAAGATCTTGGGGGGAAGTTTTATACCAAAGCCTGGTAGATAAGGCTTTGGGGTACACTTGCTGGCCCCCACTTCTGCATTTATCATGCCAGAGTGGGGAAAAGAGCCATGACACCTGTGATTGGTGTTGAAAGGTCAATTGCTTCCTCTGACAATTGGAGGGTCAGTCTCTTTTCTTCCTTTCGGCACCAGGGATACAGACTTGCATCTATCATTCCTACGACTGGTCCATGGAGATGACGGTCCCTAAATAGCACTGGAGCACACTGCACTAAGGATGTGGTGCTGGCTGGCCCTGGATCCAACTGGGTTCAAAGGATGGCCTTCAGGAGGAGAATTCTAAGCCTCTGCTGTCTAAGTATCCGTGGACAAAAGCTCTTCCAAATTTGGCACTTATCGTTCTGGTTATCTTCACCCAAACACTTGATGTGGAGGTAACTCTTCAGCATAAGCTTACCACAAGCTTGGGAAGCCTTAAAGCCCAGACCGAGGAATGCCTCGGTCCCCGGATAGAGAAGCGAATGGGAACTGTTACTATTCCACTAACCTACCTGTCATTCGTCTATTTATTCACCTGGTGCACCTACATTCACCTAGATTGTGAGCTGTGGGATAGAGACACCTGCTTGGGGTTTCTGATCACTGGCACAATAGAAATAAATAAATGTTGCATGTATTAATCAAGTCAGTGATTCAGGCAGTGGAGAACAAGACCATTTGCTCTAAACGAGTGTACACTGAAGTCCAGGTCTAAGTACAGTAATTACTGAATCAGTCAGGGGTGTGATTTTTACAGCCTCTCTTACAGCAGGCAAAGCCCCTATTCAGGCCATTATGCTAGTGCAAAAAAAAATTGCTAGTATAGCCTACATCATTCAGGGAACCAGCATAAGATATATTAGCAAAAGCACTCATAACATACAGCTATGCTGGCATATCTGTTCTAGCACGGACTATAACTAAATAGGCTGGCAAAAGCCAGTAGGCCTGCACAGATTTCTCTACTATCTGGCTACAATTAAGTAATCTCTAGACAGGTGACCAGAGTTTATATTTCTCTCTTACTTTTCCTATTCCATGTCCTAATGCTAGGCACAATGTTTAGTAATATGTATGCTACTACACAGTCAACATTAGAATCACCTTAAGAGGGAATGAATGATAAGGTAATCAACGGTTTTATAGAATTAAAATGGAAAAACATTGGAAAAAATAAAAGTTCATCCAGAATATCAAAGAAAAATACATTATAACTAGAAAAGCAACAGTTCTGCGCACCTTTTGTTCAGCATATGACACATGCTATCCAATTAAATCTAGCATGAGTAAAGATAGATGACCATGGTATAAGTAGCAACGGATTATGCCACAATCTTAGTTTTCTTCTTCACCACTGGCGATTGCTGAGTAAGAAAGAAATAGCTTGATATTTACTTTTTAAGTGAATGGAGTACAAGGTTATATTTTTACCTTTTGAAAGAAAGTAGAAAAATCTTTAGTAACATTTCCTTTGGCTGCTTTGTTTTTCAAGGCAATCTCCTCAATAGTGTCCTGAAGAAATTTAGCCACTTCAAGTTTCACTCTCAATTCCATCTTCAATCTCTCCTCCTATATAAAACAAGAGTATATTGCTTTAAAAGATGTCCTTTTCAGACTTATACCCTCTAAGATTCCCCTTCCCCACAACTTGCAAACCTCTCTTTGAATGAGACTCTATAGGATTTTCTGTATCACGGTGTGTAAATGTTATTATACTGCAACATTTGAACACTAGCCATTTATTTTCCATCCATAATCTATTTAGGAAGGACTGAATAGGCAAAAGGAGAAGGAGAGTGGCATTCTGTCAAAAATGACATTACTTGTTTCTGAGTCACTAACTAGGAAGTCGATTGTCTTAAATGCTATGGATTGATGGTCTAATGGATGGAATATTAGTTGGTGTTGGATACAAACCATCAAATTACAGTAGTAAACAGGATGACTAGCTCCTTGAGCAAATACTTATGTGATCCAGGGGATCTTCAATCTGAGTCACAAACTAGTCAAATCAAGATGCCAACAGTAAAATGTCCTTGCAATTTCTAAAAGATTAGGCAACTATACCTGTCTGGGATGGTATAGATGGTGCTTGGTCCTGCCATGAATCCAGTAGACTGGACTTGATGACCTCTTGACATTCCATCTAGTTCTATGATTCTAAGTACTTACTAGGGATGTTAAATTTAGATTAATTGGCAAATTAAATAGTCGATGCAATTTGCATCAACTATTCAATTAGTCGATAAGGATGCTTTCGCCTTTGAAGTGTAGCAACAGCCCCAAGGTTGTGTCTATTCTTCAAAGGCCAAAGAGCTGCAGGAAGCACAGGGCCAGCAGGGGACTCAAGCAGTCCCCCGCTGACCCCGTGCTCCCTGCGGCACTGCCACTTTGAAATGTCACGGGGAACCTGGCTGAGCCATGGAGTCCTCAACTGACCACAGGTTCCAAGCAGCGCTGCCGCTTTGAAATGCCAAGTACAGCCCAGGAGTAGCTGGGGACTCTGAGCTCCATGTGGCACTGACACTTTGAAGCACCTCCTCTCCCCCTTGCTGCCTCTGATAGGTTTTATTCAGTGGAACAAGCCGACCTACTATCCTTTCCAGGTGATAGTTAGGCAAGGGCCACCACTCCTTAGTGTTACAACTCTTTAAAAATGTGATTCTGGCTACCAAGATGCTAACAATATCCTAGCCACCTTAAATATGAATAAATTACTAAATCCACTTTGTTAAACCATCAGCATTTTGTAACCCAGGAAAATTTTAGGGCCTTGCTATCAAGAACCAAACCACAGCTTTTTCTTACAAAGTTTCAACAAGGATCACGTTAGAATTTCAAGTATAATTTAGTTCTTGTCAAATATTTGACTGATCCCAAACTATGTTGCAGTTACCTTTTTAGATTTTGTCTCAAATGTTGAAGGAAGCATATTAGGGAACAGCTTAAGTGCTACTGGAAGCAAAAACTCCATGAATGGAACAACAATGAAAACTAGGAAAGGAACCAGGCGAAAGAGATCAGCACATATCCGAAGGAACTGGAAGAAAAATTAAAGGCTTTTAAAACAAGAACAAAATATTACATAGCAACATTAAAAACAAAATAAGATTAATATAGACTATATTACAATTTAAATATATTTGTTCTATGAAGATATTTCAAAGTAACAAATTATAGGATATGATGAGTTGAGTTGCTCCAAAGCATGGTTCAGCCTGACATAGTGGACACTGAGCTGAACAAAACAATAAATAGCATCCTGCAAATGGGTGGAAAACTGCTTTATACCTGTGGATCATTTTTGTGGACTGCAGATCACGTGTGCATATAAAATTTGTATCCACACTGGGTTCTAGCAATCTCCTCATAGAAGTCAGAGTGACACTCTAGCAGACTGGGTGGGACAAGGCACATGCGTTGGCCCTAACTTAAAAAATGTGAGAGGCCCAAGAGGGAGAAAGATTGAGGGGGAGGAGGCAGGGATGAAGCTCTGACAGCAGCACACACTCATTCAAATGCAGCAACTGTCATACAGCCCCAAAGGTTCCTGCAGCTCTCTGAATCACACACACTGAGTGGCTGCAATACATGGCAATACCCTGTTGGGCATTCTGGGAATTGCCCCCAGCTTGATCAGGCAGGGGAGGGTAACTTGAACTCCCAGAAGGGAGTATGAAAATGTGCTCCTGTAAGAAAGTCAAGCACCATTTTGAAAGAAGTGCTGTTGTATTTTGAACTAGCAGGCAGACAGAGCACATGCTGAGAAAAGCTCAGTTGTTCACACTGTCTGTCGTGGCAGTAGCGTCACCGCAGATGTGTAGCTGTGTTTGGCTTGCTCATGTATAGGGCAGCACTGCACAGCAGGGCTCAGGATTGTAGCCTCCTTGCCAAAAGTGGAGAAGGAGATGTGACAGGACAGGACAGAAGAGGAGTTGGCTTCTACAAGAACAAAATTTGATCCATTTAAAAACCAGTCCGGCATCACTGATGTATCATGACCTGTGAAGTTGGTCGTAGTGGCCACGGAGATCAGATTTACATCCACCGATATAGGTATCTGTAGACCTTTACTGCAGATTGTGGAACAGATACAGATATAAATCTTGTACCTGTGCAGGGCTCTGATTATGCATAAAAACTGGTACTATGAGACCAACCAACTTGACCTAGCTGCCAGCCCTGTCCATTATTGCCCTTTCTGATATTAGGCAACCCTGTAGAATCTGCTCCTTAAGATGGAAGACACAGCACAACCAATTTAGTTAAAAGATGTCATTCCATCAGTCAAGTGTCTCAATTCAAGGCATTCTGTGTGATGAATTCTTAAGACTCAGTCTCAGATAGTATACTAGATGAAAAAACAAACTTCAAACATAGCCAATGCCTACCATGTGACAGACCCAACAGTGTGGAACTCATAGGCAAAGCTCATTTGCTTCAGACATGGTGTCAGACACACTGCGAATAAGTGGAGCCTTCTTAACTCTCTGCTCCATGAACATGCTCAATGCCCTTCTGTCAGCTGCTAAATGTTAACACATTTAAACTAACAAGTCTGCCTTACACACCTATATAAATGTCATCACAATAAGGCTTCTTTTTCTTGTTGACTATGATACACTTGAGTTCAATGCCAGTGTTTCTACAACTAGTAAAAGAATTTCCAAAGCATAAGTCTCACTGTCTTTCTATAGTATTGTTAAACAAAGATCTCATGTAAACTCTAGAAAGTACCTAAACACAGGAGATGGTAATTTCTTGGTCCGACAAAGGAGGTGCTGTTGTCATCATGAACAGGCCTGACTACCTAAAGGAGGCTGCCAGACAACTCTCCAATACCAAATTCTACAGGCCACTTTCCTCAGATCCCACTAAGGAATATACTAAGAAACTGCACCATCTGCTCAGGACACTCCCCAAACAAACACAGGAACAAATCGACACACCTTTAGAGCCCCGACCAGGGTTGTTCTATCTATTACCCAAGATCCACAAACCTGGAAATCCCGGACGCCCCATCATCTCGGGCATTGGCACTCTTACTGAAGGACTGTCTGGCTATGTGGACTCTCTGCTCAGACCCTACGCCACCAGCACTCCCAGTTACCTTCGTGACACTACGGATTTCCTGAGAAAACTACAATGCATAGGTGATCTTCCAGAAAACACCATCCTAGCCACCATGGATGTAGAGGCTCTCTACACAAACATCCCACATGCAGATGGAGTACAAGCTGTCAGGAACAGTATTCCTGATGATGCCACAGCACAACTGGTGGCTGAACTCTGTGAATTTATCCTCACACACAACTATTTCAGATTTGGTGACAACATATACCTCCAGACCAGTGGCACTGCTATGGGCACCCGCATGGCCCCACAATACGCCAACATTTTTATGGCTGACCTGGAACAACGCTTCCTCAGCTCTCGTCCACTTACACCCCTTCTCTACCTACGCTACATCGATGACATCTTCATCATCTGGACCCATGGGAAGGAGACTCTGGAAGAATTTCACCATGATTTCAACAGCTTCCACCCCACCATCAACCTCAGCATGGACCAATCTACACGGGAGGTCCATTTCCTGGACACCACGATACAAATAAGTGACGGTCATATCAATACCACCCTATACAGAAAACCTACCGACCGCTATACTTACCTGCATGCCTCCAGTTTCCATCCCGGACACACCACACGATCCATTGTTTACAGCCAAGCACTGAGGTACAACCGCATATGCTCCAACCCCTCAGACAGAGACCTACACCTACAAGACCTTCAACAAGCATTCTGTAAACTGCGATACCCACACGAGGAAGTGAGGAGACAGATTGACAGAGCCAGACGTGTACCCAGAAGCCTCCTGCTACGGGACAAGCCCAAGAAAGAAACCAACAGAACACCACTGGCCATCACCTATAGTCCCCAGCTAAAACCTCTCCAACGCATCATTAGTGATCTTCAGCCCATCCTGGACAATGATCCCTCGCTCTCACAGGCCTTGGGAGGTAGGCCGGTCCTTGCCCACAGACAACCCGCCAACCTGAAGCATATTCTCACCAGCAACTACACACCGCACCATAATAACTCGAACTCAGGAACCAATCCTTGCAACAAACCTCGGTGCCAACTCTGCCCACATATATACACCAGCAACACCATCACAGGACCTAACCAGATCAGCCATACTGTCACTGGTACATTCTCCTGCACATCCACCAACGTAATATATGCCATCATGTGCCAACAATGCCCCACTGCTATATACATCGGCCAAACAGGACAGTCCCTACGTAAAAGAATCAATGGACACAAATCTGATATTAGGAATGGCAACATACAAAAACCTGTAGGGGAACACTTCAATCTTCCTGGACACACAATTGCAGATCTAAAAGTAGCTATCCTGCAGCAAAAAAACTTCAGGACCAGACTTCAAAGAGAAACTGCTGAGCTACAGTTCATCTTTAAGTTTGACACAATCAACTCTGGATTAAACAAAGACTGTGAATGGCTTGCTAACTACAAAAGCAGCTTCTATTCTCTTGGAATTCACACCTCCAGATCAGCTGCTAGAAGTGGGCCTCATCCTCCTTGATTGGATCCACCTGGTCATCTCCAGCCTGATCCTGGCCTGCATATTTATTCCTGCCTCTGGAAATTTCCACTACATGCATCTGACGAAGTGGGTCTTTGCCCACGAAAGCTTATGCTCCTACACTTCAGTTAGTCTATAAGGTGCCACAGGACTTCTCGTCGCTTTTCCAAGAAAATATGAAGTGTTTATTCTCACTTCATCATAATATACTCTTATAGCTATGCTGGTCAGCAATGTGAAAAGGTATGACATGACACCAAAAGAGCTGTTCCAGCAAAAGACCCCAGCACAGACCCTGGGAGAACTGTGTTTTTGCTTGCAATGGTGTTTCATTGGGGATGGAAGAGAGGAGTGTTTTGGATCAAGCTGTATAGAGTTAAAGTGCAGTTTTACTAGAGTAAAACTCCAATAGTCCAGCATCCAGTTGTCCGGCACTCCTTATAGTCCAGCATCAACTAGAACCCGGAACTGCTCAGGTCAGTCGCTCTCACGGCCGGGCTGCTGTGAGCCGCATGAACGCTCACAGCCCGTGCCGTTTTGCTCACGGTCCCCAACACACACAGCGTCCAGCCTGCACGTGCTAGCAGCTGGCCACTGAGCACAGGCAGCTGCTTCAGGACCTGGACATAAGGTTGGGGGAGAAGGAAGTTTGTGGCCTGCAGATTCATGCCACTAATTGATACACGTCATTTGAAAACTCAATGACTCTACCCCAAATCTACAGCCCCTGCAAACAGTAGCACCCTAAAAGCTCGGTTTGATGGCATACAGCACCTCATCCCCAAGAAGCTTTTCTGATTCTCCCACACAGAAGAATTTGTGCTAATCATATTGTGGTTTGGCCCAATTGATCTCCACGCATGATTAAGTTCACTAACCTCTACAAGAGCAGGATTTTAACAATGATTTTTGGTTTTACAAAAGCAACAGTTTGATTGCTCTGTTCATGTTACTGTTGCTCTTCATGTGGTCAGGTTACTTGGATATCTGTTTATAATTGTTTCCAGAGAGGAAGGAAAAGGAAAGCAGAAATATAACTCATTTGTCAGTTGGTGTGAAGATAAGATTTCACCAGAGACTGTCAAGAGATTTAAGGTTTAATTGAAATAATTAATAAAACAAAATGTTTTATTTTCAATCAACAGTGAATTTGTACATTTTGTATGAACTGCAAGATTTTGAAACCTGTTTGAACAACCTAAAATGTTATTAGTCAGAATCACACTAGCTGTTAAGGTTAATGTTTAAAGAAATAATAAAAGCTGCATTAAAAGGAGGTAAGTTTTAAAATAAGTATGTGAAAAGAGTTGACTACCCCTTTATTCCAATCTTATGATAATTGGTCATCCAGAAGTTCAGAATTTAGATGATTACTGCATTTCAGCAAGTTTACTGCAAAGTACAGTTCTAATTGACATTCCTTCAAATATCTGTAGCTCCATGTAATGAAAAATAAAGCTATATTTTAAATCTGCAGTAAGTGTCTTTTTGTAAAAGAGTCCTTTTCTATGCTGAAGTTTTTTACACCAGTATAGCTATCCAATTACATACGTTTGTACATTGACACACTATGTAACATACACTGGTCGAAAAAACCCTCAGTATGAAACAAGGCCTTAGATGATGCTCAGATAAGGAATTAACATGGCAAAATACCAGAGCCAACCCACTGCCAATAGCACAATTCAATCATTGCTAGCCAACAGCACTTGACAGTACTGATGTTCACAATCAGATTCTATACAAGTTGTCTAAAGATAAGACTAGTCTTTCAACAGCAGCGCATCCAAGTTTCTATCCCAGTTTGCATATTTGAACATGTCAGAAGTAGAGTGATCCCACTGGGACACAGAAGTGAAGACAGCTGTGTTCTAGTTCAACCATGTTAACTGAAATTACAACTTTTGACCCTTCCACTCTTATCTCTGAAACAAAGGTAATGACAATACCCAGCTTTGTAAATACTTACTCTAGATTAAAAACAGTGTGTGTAAACTAACCTTATGCATGTATGCAAAGTATTATAATACAGCATTTTTGTTCTCATCAAGATACTGATATTTAGAGCCCTGTGTGAATATAAAATGCGTGTTGCATCTGATCCATGATCCACAAACAGGCAGATACACAGATTTGCAGCACTTTACTCATTTTTAAAAAACTAGCTACAAAAAAAAAGCATGGAAATAGAGCAACTGAATGTGAAAATAAGTTAGTTACATATTTTGCACATGATCACAACAGCGAGTGCAGTTTAGACAAATACTGAGTATTGCACCAATTCTATTTTATTGCTGCTTCAAGAATAAACTCATTCCCACCACTCAAGATTCCTTATTTCCCTCAAGTTCTCCCTCCCCCCATCCCTGCATTCTCAACTAAACTTATAGCTGTTGACTAAACTGCAACAAGTACAAGTTAATCAGAACTTTAAAGCAGATTATTTTTAAAGGTGCTAAAGAATGCATCTGTGTTACTCAATTGGCCAGTTCTCCAACAGTTAATTTTGTTTTTACAGCTTCTCAATCTTTGCATGTATAAGTAATTAAAAACCAACTTTCTTCCCCCCAACAATATGAATTTGTGGAATTTTAAAAAAGATTTTAACTTTTACCACATAAACAGGTATCCTTTTTCTAGGAATTTAAAGCTGTTTAGAGACAGTTTTCTTTGAACTGATTAAGAAAAGCACATTAAAATGTACTGCAATCTTGATGACAAATCATTCCAAGTTCATCTGTAGAAGTATTACACTCCTTTATTCATTAATTTTATGCAATGTTAAGCTACATGCCACCAATGTGAGAACCAGTATAAAGTTAAGATGATCTGTTCCTAGACTGATACCTCTTTCTGGACTAAGCAATATGTGAGTGTCATGGTTTTAATAAAGCAATACCTCTTTGCAATCTTAGTTAAAATATATACCAGTATATCACATAAATAAAAATTAGTATCAAAATTTTAATCTCCTTTTTTTTGTATAGCAATAAATACAGAACTTATGTGAAAATTTTTTCCAAAGGTGCTTTACATCTGTTTTTCTTGGTGAAATAAGAAAGAGAGAGCCTGTGGGAAGTAATGGAATGTGCACACACACAAGGGGAAAGGAAAAAAAGGAAAGACAACCAGAGAAAGAGCAGATTACTACAGTTTGCCACTTGTTATAAAGAAATAGGAAGCACTTTTCAACTTACATATGTGGCAGATAAGTGACATTAAAAAAAAATTTAGTAGTTATTTTAAGAGAAAAACAGGAAAAAAAAAATCACAATGAAGATTGTACATAATGACTAATCACATATTAACAACATTATAATCCACCAGAGTGTGCTTTATAATTTTTTTTGCTTGACAGTCGTATGGACCATTATGGGACGATTCGATTGTTATTAAAGGTGTGTTGGGGTCAGCCCTGAAGTCTTAAAAGGCCAGAATTCTAGCTGTGGATCTAGTGTTTCCTTTAAAATGCAGCAGTTCTCAAACCGTGGGCCAGGACTTCAAAGTAGGTCACAACCCGATTTTAATGAGGTTGCTAGGGATGTTATTGGCTAATTGAATACTCGATACAATTTGTATCGATTATTCAATTAAGTCAATAAGGGTTCCTGCCTAGAGTTGTTGTTACACTTCAAAGGCAAAAGCACAGCAGAGAGCACAGAGACAGTGTGAGCAGGGAGCCTGGTGTTGGACGCCCAGCTGGCCCTGGGCTGCACGTGGTGATGCAAAGCGGCAGACCCTAGGCACCATGTAGCACTGTCATTTTAAAATGCTGCATGCAGCCCTGGGCCAGCTGGGGACTCCCAGCTAGCCATGGGCTGCACACGGCATTTCAAAGTGGCAGATCCTGGGCTCCATGCAGCACTACTGATCTGAAGCACCACTTTTCTCCCCCCACTTCTTGCTGACTCTTTCTGATAGAGGGAGCAAGGGGGGGGGAAGTGACTAATCGACTAGTGTGTCGACTAGTTGTTCACATCCCTAGAGGTCGCCAGAGCCAACCTTAGACTCTCTGAAACCCAGAGTTGAAGCTGAAGCCTGCGCCCTCCATCTGGGGTTATAGGGCTTGGACTGTGGCCCTCTTCCCCCATCTGGAGCAACAGGGCTTGTGCTCCACACATATCCAACCCAGGTCAAGTAGTAACTTTGTTGTCAGAAAGAGGTCACAGTGAAATGAAGTTTGAGAACCCTTGCTTTAATATAGTAATCTGAAATAATTTTTTTTAAATTACATTTGTACTGCAATAAGATTCCAGAACCACCTAAATAGTCAATGTACAATGTGTATTTCCATAATTTAATGTTATTATGGTTCCAAATTCAGCAATCTGTATATTTTTAATACTTTTATTCTCCAGTGTTGTTCTTTGGAGTGTTTCTTCCACATTCCCAATTCCAGTTACAAAGATAATTCTGTATTTTTAACATGCAAGCCCTCTTCCAATATTTTCTGATTTGTTTTGTGAAAAAACTGCCCCCCCTCAGGCTTGCAAGATAGGAGGGGGGCACTGCCCCAATGAAGGCCCCTGCTGGAGCAGCTGCGAGTGGTCTCGGTAAGCTTGATAAACCTTCCCTGCTCCCCCCACACACACTTCCACCCACCCTCTGCCTCTCCTTGCCCCCCCATCCTCACTCCAGCCTTCATTTTTAAAAAGAACAATCATTTAGATAAAGCATGTACATTTTTCATTTATTTTCCAAAACAAAAATAAAATTACTTCAGTTAAAGACCAAAGCAACACTGAGTTTAAATAAAATAAAAAGTCATGTTGTGACAAACTGATAAACCCATGGACAGGCTGATGTGGCTGTGGAAATAATGTAAAAATTATAATTTAATTTTAATATTGAACTAATGCAGTAAGTGTCGGTGACTGCCCAATTATTTAACGGAACAATACGAAAATACAGATAGCATTGTGACTATTAACTAGACAAAATTGTAAGTGTCTGCTCCTAAGTTTTTCGAAAGATACAACTAGGACAAAAACTTATATTTGGGAGACTCACTAAAAGAAATAATATAGATACTGGTTATATGATCTGAATAAACCCCAGTCTTTTTTTTCCTCAGTTGGCTGCGTCAAATATTGAGTAAAGTTATCTTAGCTAGGAATGCTAGAAGTAATCTTATTGATTCTAAATACAAGGCAAAAAGCACAAGGAACCCACTTAATTTAACCCAAGCAAAAAGCTTAATCACTCAGTAGTAAACAGAGATTATATGTACTCATTACCTGTCTCCGTTCCCGGCGAGACAAAACATTGCCATGAAGTATTCGCCAGAGCATTCTTGCAGCAATTTTTGTGTCAATCCATAACAATCGAAAGCCATGATAATAGTGCTTCACCTCATCTACAATCTTCTGTCCAAGAGATTTTTTAACAACCTCTTCTGTGGGACTATATACAGGGCCTCCTTCTTCCAACTTCTTGTTTTTATCCTTCAAAGACTTAAGTGACTTTTCCACCATGGAGTCATCTTTACAAGGATGTGAAGAATGCCACCATCGTACTGGAAGGTACTGGGGCCCCAAAATGCCCAAACTTGAAAGTGGAGTCCATGAGCCAGGAGAGCTCACAACTCTAAAATATGTTTGCCCATGTCCTTTAGTCCAACAACTGTACTGATCTTTTCCATAGTAAATGTAAACAGGGTGGACACTAGTGCAATATTTGAAGTGTACATTCCTTTAAGAAAGAAAAAAGCATTTTAAAAAAATCTATCAATAAGCACTAAATGAGAAAGATTTACTATGTGTTTAAAATAGCAATAGGACTAGAAAGGTTCAACCTGTACTTTCAAGGGAGGAGAAAAAATTTTCAACATTTTAGAAATGAGAAAACAATGACCAGAAGTTTTTTCAATTTAGAAAACTAAGTGTAGATGAAAAACTAGAAATCATTGACAAATAACCTATCTAAAGCATTTCATATCTCCTATGCGGATGGCAAACAGAGACAAAGTACAAGCTACAGTATTAGGGTTAAGGAGCAGAATAGAAATTGGTATCAGATTAATCCACTTCAAAGAAATGTATCCTTTCATCATCTCTATACTTCTAACCTTTCTCCAGCAGATGTTTGGTCTGCTCTGATTGCAATCTCAACTATCAATGGTCTGCATAAGACAAAAGAATCGTATTTCATTAGCCTTTCTGAAAGAGGAATGAAACTTACTCTGAAAACAAAGACATTGTTCCAAGTGCTTATTAGATGTACAAAACTAGAACCACCCACTAAACGCAATCATGTTTGTACTTTAGCACTTTTTTGTTAACCATCTGGAACTATGAAGTTGTAAAGGTAACAACTAAAGCAAGTGCAGATAATTCTGTGTTAACTGAAAATCTGAAGTTACCCCAAGTCCAATGGATTTTTTTTGAGATGGTGTGACCACATTTGCACTCGGTATTCAAGGTGTGAGTCACACCATGGATTTATAAAGAGACAGGATGTTATTTTGTGTCTTATTATCCATCTCTTAATAACTGCTAACATTCTGTTAGCTTTTTTGACAGCCACTGTACATCCACAACAACTTCAAAGGGTCTCTCTGGTGCGGTAAGATCTAATTTAGACCCCATCAATTTATATATATAGTTAGAATTCTGTTTTCCAATGTTCATTACTTGGCATTTATCAATGTTAAATTTCAGCTGCCATGTTCTTGCCCAGTCATGCAGTTAGATCCCTTTGTAGCTCTTTCCACTCTGCATTGGACTTAACGATACTGGGTAGTTTTGTATCATGTACAAATTTTGCCACCTCCTTGTTCACCTCTTTTTCCAAATCATTCACCACTATTTACCTCTCCATTCATGCATCTGACGAAGTGGGTCTTTGCTCACGAAAGCTTATGCTCTAACACTTTGGTTAGTCTATAAGGTGCCACAGGACTCCTCGCCGCTTCTGTTCTGAAAGTTGTCTATTTATTCCTACCCAGTTACCAACTCAGGAGAGGACCTTCCCTCTTCTCCCATGACAAATTACTTTGCTTAAGAGCCTTTGCTGAAGGTCCCTGTCAATGGCTTTCTGAAAATATAAGTACATTATATCCATTGGATTCTCCCTTGTCCATCATGCTTGTTGACCCCCTCAAAGAATTCTGGTAGATTGGTGAGGCATATTTCCCTTTTAGAACACATTTTGACTCTAAATAGGGATGTTAGCTATTATGTAACTGAATAGTTGTGTAACTACATGAAATCTTAGTGGTTACATGATTATTCAATAGTCCCCAAGGATGGGGACAGCAGCCAGTGTTCTCCAGTCCCACTCCCGGGGAGCCCCCTGACACACTGTGCTGCTGCCTCTGCATCAGAGGCAGCAGCACAGGGTGGCAGGCAAGAGCTGGTTTAAAAACTAGCTCCCCAGCTGCCTGCTCAGACCCCCCCACAGACAGAGGCTGCTTCTGTGAATCTGCCTCTGTTTGCAGGAAGATTGGATCCCCCCTCTCCCCCGTTGCTGTCTCTGGTACAGAAGCAACGGTGGAGAGAGGGGGCGCATGTAGTCAATAGGATTAACCAGTAAACCCAGACTTACTGGTTAATCGTTTACTCGACTATACTCTAATATCCCTATTTCCAAACAAACTGTGTTCATATAATTCTGATATTTACTGTAGTTTGAATCAATTTGTCCTGCTCTGAAATCAGGTTTATCCAGCTATAATTGTTGGGATCACCTCTGAAGCCTTTTAAAAAGTGGCATCACATTAGCTATTCTCTAGTCATTTAGTAGAGAAGCTGATTTCAAGGATAGGTTACAAACCAGTTGGTACTTTTGCAATTCCACATTTGAGTTCCTTCAGAACTCCTGGGTGAATACCATCTGGTCCTGGTTACTTATTACTGTTTAATTTATCAATTTGTTTCAATACCTCTTCTAATGAAATCCTTGATCTAGGACAGTTCTTCAGATCTGTCACCTAAAAAGAGAGGCTCAGGTTTGGGAATCTCCCTCATATATCCCCCATCACGAAGGATCACAGCCCAGGAGAGAGGGGTCGCAAGTGGAAAAACTGAATCCAGCTGCGACCCTTCCCCTCTAAGTTGCTCGTGACCCCCAGTTTGAGAAACATTGCTGTGATGTATTTGTGGATACTAATAAGCAGGGCTTGCCGAACCACGGCGAGCCCCACTCGCCAGCCGCGCTGTCCGGCAATCTGCGCATGCCCAGATCATTCTGCACATGCGCAGATCGCCCGAATCTGGCTCTTCCAGGTTACAATAGACTGTATTATTTGTTGAGCCCTGCTAATAGCTATTGATGGACCTAACCTCCATGAATTTATCTAGTTCTTTTTAGAATCCTGTTAAAGTCTTAAGTCTTTACCACATCTTCTGGCAACGAGTTCCACAGGATCACTGTGTGTTGCATGAAGAAAAATTTCCTTTTGCTTGATTTAAACCCTATTAATTTCATTTGGTGACCCCTAGTTCATATATTGTGGGAATAAGTAAATAACTTTTCCTTATTCACTTTTTCCACACCAGTCATGATTTTATAGACCTATCATATCTCCCCTTAGTCTCCTCTTTTCTAAGCTGAAAAGTCCAAGTCTTTTTAATATTTTGTCACATGGCACCCATTCCAAACCCCTAATCATTTTTCTTGCCCTTTTTTGAACCATTTCCAATGCCAATATATGTTTGAGATAAGCTACCACATTGGTATGGAGTACTCAAGATGTGAGCATACCATGGTTTTATATAGAGGCAATATTCTCTATCCCTTTTTAAATGATTCCTAACATTGTTTGCTTTTTTGACTGCTGCTGCACATTGAGTGGGTGTTTTCAGAGAACAATGGCCTTATTATTCTTGAGTGCTACTTCAGCATCTCAATCATTCAGTGGCCCCACTGATAGCTCAACAGTTTCAGCAGAACTCTGCTTCACAAATACATAACTTTTGGGGGGGCGGGGGCCTATTTTTTTGAGTCTTTGGCTAGCTATTCTTCACAATTTTTTGGACTTCCTAATAATATTTTTATGCAATTGCCACAAATCTCATCTTTTTGAAGGATCACAGGTGAGGGGTCACACAGCCAACATTCTGAGAAGACCAGGACTTATACACTACAGGAAGGGGTGAGTACGGACTTAGGGGACACAGCAGATCAACTCTTTCCATTTTCCCTAAGGCTATAACTCCTGCATGCTTCAAGAGCATAAGTTATGGTGTCTAAGAAACTCCTGTGCAAAGCCCATGTTCCTTGTATTACATGCCATGTAATCCCTGAGTGACTGAAGTATAAATGAGATGGAACTCTAGGGAACCTTTCCAAGTTATTGGAGAAGCTCGGGAGAACTCAGCATTAGTTTTTGGGTCTAGGGCAGTTGGTCTGTGGTGTCCCACCTCCCACAAAAGAATGCAAGACAGGGAGTCTTCACCTAGGTATGAGCCTAAGAAGCCCAGAGTTATGAAGAATGACTGGATTCTGCCCAGACTCAGGCTTGGAAAGCATATCACATTCCCTCAGGAGTACTATGCAAAAAATTGAAATATTTCAAATTCAGCATTTTTATTTGTCAAATTCACACAACATAATCCCACCATTTTCAATTATTTGCTGACAAGAATTTTGAAATAAATTACCAAAACAATTGAAAATGGTGTGATTATATTTTTGTTGTGTTTCTGTTATTTTGACAATTCAAATATGCACAATTTTGACCTTTTTTAAAATTTCTCAATGTAGAACTCCCTCAAAAGTACCAACATTCTGTTTGGCACAATTTGGGTATAGACAGCTTGGTGGGAATCAGTGCTCAGGGGTTCTGGGTGCAAGTGGAATGGGACTCTAAGTTTGGGAGGAGGGAGGCCCTGATGGGATGGGTGTCATGGTCCAGTTGGTTGGGGCTCATTGGACTGGGGGTCCAGGAATGGAGTGTTCCTGATGTAGGTGGTGAGTGGGATTCCCGATATGGAGAGGGCTCAGAGGAGGGGTTCCAGGTGCACAGGTGTGAGGGAGGCATCACTGTACAGGGAGCTGCTTCCTGTCTAACAAATCTTCACATATCTAGACCACCTCCTTCCCCCCCCCCCACATCTAGAACTCCCGACCCTGGAAGCATGTACCTTCCTGAAGCCAGAAGTTTCCAGAGCTTGATCTGAACCACCCTGGCTGCTCCACATAGGGAAGGGGAACTTTGTCTCTGTCCTCCTTCCTCTCCCCAGCTGGGACTAATGTCCCTAGGTGGCCAAGGCATTCCCAGACCACCACTTCTCAGTGATTTCTTTCTCCCCCTTGGTGCCTGAACAGACATATCTAAGCTGCCAATGGGGTGAGTGGTTGGTGCAGCATCTCTTTGCTTCCCTACAGAATACATATTCTGCAGGGAAACAAAGGGATTCTGCAGATGGGCATTATTCTGCTGCACTACCGGTGTGCAAATTTGCCCAGGAATAAAATAGGATCCAAAGGTTGACTGCAATAATGACCATCCACTTGAAGGATTCAGCCAGAACCATATTACAGGGTACTTATAGCCTTGTATGTACAGCTCAAGTGAACTCTGCTTACCCTGCAACTATCAACTACTGCTCAAAACTGATGGAGAGCAACATCTAGATATGTGTATGTTACTGACTTCTGGTGGTGTCACCTGCAACAGTTCATGAGCAGTTAATTTACCTTTTCTGCTTTCGCAAGAACAGTGTGTACTGTATTGGCATAAGTTAAGGAAGATGGATTGGGAAAAAAAGAAAAGATTTCATATATTTCTACTCTCAAAAGTGACATAACAGCCATATGATTAGAATGCTATTCTCGGGCCTAACTTCGTGGCTCCATAATATGGGCTGTGGTTAGTGTGTGTTTTGTTCAGCAGTCCATACACGCTGTTATGATATTCTAAAGCTTTTAGGATAACTTGGAATACTTTTAAAAGTGTAGAAAAATAACTGTGTCATGTTTATGTTTACTTACTTATGCTTTATCAACCTCAGAGACACACAGCTCAGACAAGTACGCTCTCGCAGGTTACCTGAAAAAAAATTGCAAACATTCTGAAGTTTAAAAAGACAATTCATCCATAACATTAATAATGAACTAATTATTTTAGAAGGCCAATTGTTACTTTAGAAATGGATCTTATTAGGTACAGCACATTAGATGAAAAATGTAGGTTGTTCAAATATTTAAAAAAACAAAACAAAAAACTATTGATTTATCTTCATTTAAACTTTTAGAGGTTTATCTGCATTTGAAAGTAGGGATGTGAATGGATGATTCTTACTGGGTACCAGTTAACCAGTATCTGGGAGCAGCCCCCCACTCATGGTGTGCCATTGGCGGAAGGCTGCTCTAGCCCTGTGTGGGAGTCAGAGGCCGGATGCATGCAGCAGCAGCAGCCCCTGAGCAGTCGGGGGACAGCCAGAAGCAGCAGTAACAGCCCACCGCATGGCCAGGAGAGGGGAGGAAAGAGCTGGCGAGGCAGCAGCAGGCCCCACGCAGCCAGGGATTCTGGGTTAATCAGTTACCCGGTTCAACCTGGTACTCAATTGGTTAACTAATGAACTCAGATTTTACATCCCTAATTTGAAGAGTCATTTCTGACCTGTAACATCAGACTCCTCACCCACTACAGAGGCTAGAGAGTCCCACCATTTGGTGGAGCATGAATGTATACAGGGGGTTCCCTAGGTGTGGTTTGAAAGCAAACTGAATGCAAGGTAAGCAGCCAGCTCACACTGTAGGAGAGAGAAGGTTGGGGGCTTGTAGGATAAAAAGGTCTGGAGGGCCCAGTGGGATGGGGAGCATCTCCTGGATACATGCATGGGGATCTACTCAATTCCACCTGTTACAGTCCAGGTGGTTTCTGCTAGGACCAACTTCTAGCACACCAAGGGGGAGACTGCCTCTTGCACACAAAAATAGGAATTGTATATAGGAATGTTAAATATAGATTAATCAAATAGTCGATGTGATTACCATTGACTATTCGATCAGTCTATAAGGGCACCGCTGCCTTTGAACTACACCAAGAGTCCTGCTGGGATCTTGCTACAGTTCAAAAGCAGAAGTCCCACAGAGACTGCAGGACTTTCTGGGGCTCTTGTACATTTCAAAAGCAGAATCACAGCAGAAGCAGCATGAGTGGAGACTGTTTCATTTCCCGCTGTGCCTCTACCTCCCCTGAGCCCAACGGATATAGTACTGGGGGGAACTGGCTTTTAAGCTGGCTCCCACTTCCCCCCTTGTTGCCTCTCTCTGAAAGAGGCAGCGAGGCAGGGGGAGGAAGCAACTAGTCACATCACTAGTCAACTATCCAATAAGCTTATGTTTATCAAATAGTTGACTATCCTCTTCTATCACTAATTGTGTATCAGGGGCTCTACAAAGAGTTTCACCGCCTCAGTGGCCACAACAGACCTGGTCGCCCAAAACAGCTGCTAGGTCTGGAAGAGGTCCTGGTAAAAGACCCACAGCTCAGACAGGTCTTGCAGAAAACTCCTCCCTTGAGTGGACAAAAGCCCTTAGAAGTGTTGGTGGAAGGCGTAAGCCAACGTGCTCCACTCCAAATTACCTGCCCCACAAAGGAGTCTCAGCAGGGCCTGGTTGAATTGAACTGGCCAAGTCATTTAACTTTCATCCACAGTGACGGACTCCTCCAACTACTGCAAGAAAGCTTGCACTGCCGTTGTAGGACCTGTAGCTAGAGCACTGATGGTTAAATAGGTCTCACACTAGCCCTTTCCACAACTACTGAAACCATTTGTTTATTGTCTGTAGTTAAATGCCACTAACCTGTCACGCGTTATTAACTAATTCACAACAGTTTAGACTCAGCCCAGGCGCCCCGCCACCCGGGTAACTTCTACCCCGCAGCCCAAGGCTCCAGCGAAGACTAAAGGCGCCGCGGGCACAGGAGAGGCGGGGAGGGAGGACGCCTCCCCGGGCCGCGGGCAGGAGCTCTGCGAGGTCACGAGGAGGAGGCCGGGGGAGATCGCCACGGGAGTTCAAAGCTGCCCGGGGAGCTCTGGAAGCGGGGAAAGGAGGCGCCCCGCACGCGGCCCCCAGTCACTGCCAGGCCCCTCGCCGGCTCCTTTAGCCGCCAGGGGACCGCTAGGCCCAGCCCGTGCGTGGAAAGTCCAGGCCCTAAGGAGCCGGGGCCCAGCGCTGCGGGACCCGCCTCGCCCCGGCCCTTACCCCACGTGGGCTCCCTGCGCAGCGGCCTGGGGAGGCAGCCCCCGCGACACGGAAACGGAACCGTCGCCCACTGGGGGAGGAGACCAACCGTGGGGAGGGGGGATTATTTGCATAGACCCGCCCCCTGCGGCTCCTATTGGACTAGGGACCCCGGTGTCGCATTGCAAGCCGGGAACTCCACAGCCTCTCGGAAATGCAAGAAGAGCGCTGCAGGCTGGGAGATGTAGTTTTAGGTCTGCGCGGGGGGGTGAAGCAAGTACTGTAGGTAGGGTGCAGGCAGGGAGGGAGATTCAGGCAGGTGGTAACTAATAGTAACCTTCGAGTAAGTGGATACTGATGCCTCCCATGGGACTAGGATACTAACCTTTTGTATGAGTAGTGTTATCTGGGGCTAGAAGAAAACCTATTCTTGGCCCGAATAGGGTAAATTAAACCATGTAGAGCTCTCAGTCTGGAAGGAATCCTGGCAGAAACTTTTAAGTGGTAGTTGTAACATTGACACATTTTCCTGCTACTGAGGAAAAATCGGAGAGTATACAATTTTCAGTGTTGCATGTGGCAGGTCAAATACAGTTTTGTCCAGCGGCACATGCTTCTAAAACAAGACACGAAAGCAGTCACAGAACCTTATAGACATGGGAATTTTGACCTTGTAATCACACTCCTATTCTTTTACCATTATTGTCGTTCCTCCACTTCACCCTTGTTTACTTGATCCTGGGTGGATGTTGTGGGGTTGGTTTTTTTTACTTTTGTATATAAAAGCCTGTCTTAAAAAAATCAGCACAAGCTTTTTCTGAGGATGCAGCATCTCTGTAAGTCGACACTGGGCCTGATCCTCCTATGATGGAAGTCAATGTCAAAACTCCCACAGAATTCAGCCTGAGCAGGATGGACTCTGTAGTCCATATAGTACATTAAATAGTTTTTTTAAGTGTTAACTAGGCCATAGATACTGAGTTCAAACAGAGTGTAAAAATACCACTGAAGAACAAACACTGTAAATTCAAATTAATAAATGTCCTCTAATAGAAATCATATTCAGTGTCATGCATAGTGTGACATATTACATATCTGTGTGACTACTGGTTATAGATATATTTTGGAGAAAAAGATGTTTGTATTAATGCTAGTCCTATATATTATCAGGACTAGCTGCCTGCTTCTGCTAACTGCAATTGAGAGTTTTGTAATTTTTCTCTAAGCAAGTGTAGTTATCTGATATTATACTGCATACAGTAGGGAGCATATTTCTTATAGTATGGAACAGACAGATATTTAAAGAAAATATATACAAATCATGTTATCAACAGTGAACTTTTTAGTAGTATTGTTACAATGTAGTGCCTGATAGCATATAATTATTAAAATATCACTTTGCTCCTGGCCTACATTTCAATTATATTTTACCACACAGTGAATAAAATCTGTAAAGACAGTATTAGCTGCCTTTTTGCATATCATGCAGACAGAAACAGGGAATAAAAGAAAAAAATTGTAAAATGTATAATTGACTGTCAGAATAGTTAAATATGAAACAGTTTTTATGTTAGGCTTGAATGTCACTAAATACCTTACTTATATAGCAAGGAAAAACAAAGCTATTGTATCTTATCAACAAGATGGCTGACATCCCCTTCCAGCAAGATGGCTGCCACAAAACCAGATTCAGAATGGTAATAAGATATTGTTTATCAAAGTCTTGTATTTCACAGATTATGCACAATGATAAATGCTTTTTCATCTATGAACCTAGTTACTTCTGCTGTCCTGATCAAGAGGAGGCTTTTCCTTTTTTATTTGCATTTTTACCTGAAATGTGATTAACTATATTAGCACAGACCATGATTATATACAGGAAAGGAAAATACTAATTTTTTTGAAGTTGCTTTAACATTGGAGACTTTGCAAGTGTAGTAAATGAATGTATAATATTTTAAAGTTATGTAATGTGTCTCTCTAACCTGAATCTTCACACATTCTTCCTGTAACTTTATATTTCCAGTGCAAGGAATATGCAAGGAAGCAGTATTCAGATTCACCAAGTTCTAAAACAAATATTTAACTGTTCCTAAGATAAAGTAAATTTTTCCCCGCCAGTTCAATTTGTATTATTAATTGTTTTTAGAACTCCAAAATGTGTTGTGAAAACAAATTCCATTTTTACCACCTTTGTTTGTTTGTGATGGCTGTTTTAAAGACATGTGAAAATATGTTCCCTGCCCTGCTGCAAACTCAGTAGACAAAGATAGAGGATTAGAATGAGGAGCACATAAGCAAAGGGATGAGACTGAGGAAAAGGTACACAATGCAGAAAATCCTATAGAATGCAATAGCTTAGAAAAGAAACAAAAAGGGTTACACAAACAAAATGAAGTACTATAGAACGTACTCTAAAAATCTACAGTCTGTAATATAGTATTCTATTACATTTATTGGATGGTTTAAACAAAACCTATAGAAAGTTTTAGTTCTCTATTTTTCTGCTGTATTCTGTGATTGTCAAAAGTCACCAGTGTGGTGTCCTATCAGGTATCTTGCTCTGTACAATGATTGTCAGGTGTGTGCTTACCCCTCTGTATGCTGTACTACCCCAATGGCACATACAGCAGACTCCCAGAGAGCGCTTAATGACCACTAAATCAGATAAGGATCAAAGGCATCAGGTTTATTGTCAAATGAAGTACAGTAATAGTTGTCAGCAGACCCTACCGATCCACTACAAATATACTGCCTAAAAATGGACCAGCTCAATCAATGACAGGATCCTTCATTGCCCCCAGGACAGACAAAGACGACAACTCTTGGGGTATGTTTTTATACATAGGTACAAACAAGTTATACATCACCCCTGACGTACCAGGTTGCCACCTTCTGACATTACCTAGATACCATCCATTATGTTGTACATGGGGGTTTGTTCACTATTTATTATGCTGTCCTGAACCTGGGTCAGTATGCTTGTTATTTGTGGGGAGTATATTGCTACCAAGATGTTTCTTCACTGGGTGTTCTGCTTTGACCCCTCTGGAATGTGTTCATAGCCTGCAGGGCCAGCTCTAGGCACCAGCAAAACAAGCACGTGCTTGGGGCGGCACATTTGCAGGGGCAGCGTTCTGGTCAGCCTTACCACTGGACGCAGGGCTGCCTGTGGCCGCTCAAGGCAATGCGCGGGGCGGTGGAGCTGGCGGCCTGCAGGGGTGGTGGAGCTTGCGGCCTTGCTTCCCCATGTGGCTGACTGGGAAGAAGGGACAGCGCCTCAGTGCTGGGCATGGAGGGAACCCCTACTTCCCCCTCCGACTGCAGAAGCAGCCCCGGCCCCTCGCCCCTAGCTGGCAAGACCTCCCCCAGCCCACTCTCCTCTCCAGCTCTCTCCCCTCAAACACAGCGCCCCGCCAGCTTGCCACCACCCGCAACTCACCCGGCCCGTAGCCCGCTCGGCCCCTCTCCTGCCTCGCCTCACCACATGCAGTGCACACGTGGCTGCTGAGATGTCAAGCCCAAGAGCAGCAGCACTTTGGGAATCAGTGAGTGACCCGCCCCTCCGGCCCGCAGACAGCTCAGAAGTTAGTGGGGCCTGGCCTATTGCTGGGGGGGGGGGGGGGTCCCG